GATTATATTGCTCTGTATTCCCTTGTGTTGAAATGGTTTCAAATAGCACGTACGGTAAGGTTTCATGGTTTTATTGGCAAGAATTATCTTTTTTTAAAGTAGAAGAGCAGAAAACGTGAAAATATACGATAGAGGAAGAAAGATTGACGTAGGTAACTGATTCATCCACTAGCTTATTAACAAAAGGTGTATGGTTACAAAATGTATATATATGTAGCACCAAAGATTCCATAGCACAAATCAATGCAAATACAAAGAATGTGAATTGCAGTAATTACTTTGAAGGTAGTTTTTTTAAAAGCAATTTCAGCAAGTTGATCTTCATAAAATACAATTTTAGTTACACTGAACGCTTTACTGTTTAGCTATATTTACAGCAATTTTCTCATGCAATGAATGGTACTGCTGCTTAGGGGATAGTACCCTGAAAACCATTGTCGAACTGGTGTGCACTTGGAGAAGCTTATAGGATTGTTAAAGGTAAGATTTTGTTGTTGTTGTTGTTGTTGTTGTTGTTGTGGCTGTTTAAATATTTAGGAGAATTGCACTATTTCCCCTCAATATCAAGGATTGGTTCATGGTAGGTGAAGGTCATACTCTAACCCTTACAAACATAATTTTCAAGATATTTATGTGTAAGAACTTTGCTGGTTACAGGTTGATTGCTATAAGTGGAAAAAAAAGTGGCCAGAATATTTTAAAATATGCCTAGTTATATCATATAAAGTTAGCAATTGATCCTTTTTTCCCTATGCTGCAATCTCGATGCTTTTTCAAGTTGGCTATAAACTATTAAGAAAAATTAGACAGTTAGCTCAAGATGAGTTTTTCTCAGGTCATTTGCTTTTTCTCTTCATTTGATATTCTGCAATTGCAATATAATAGTTCTGCTTCAAGCATCCATTTCAAGTTGGCGTAATTTAACTTTATTTGTCTAAATATAACTGAATAAGTGCAATCTTTTGTGGATATCCCCCAGTTTATACATAAATTCAAAGTAGCATCGACATTTATCTTTTTTAACAAGTGTAATCAACTTTTCTTCAATTTACATATAAACATTTATGCTTTCGGGCCCCTTTTACATACCATATATAGTGGGGGAAAAAACAACAAATCTCTCACTAATTTTGTTTTTTGTTACATTTTTCAATCCATGATTACAAGAATTAAGTTAAAGGAAATATAGTGCCAGGAAAACAAACCCTTTTTCCTGGTCCATTAGGGTTATTAGGTCCCCTCCTCCCTCAGAGCCCCCCTCCCGCTGGGCTGAAGGGGTTTAAGCCCCTTCAGCCACTTAACTTAATCCAGCACCGGGCTCCATAAGCGCTGGTGACCTCTCCTCCCCCTGCCGACGTCAGCTCCGAATGCGCTTTCAAACCGCCCATAGGAAAGCATTACTCAATGCTTTCCTATGGACGTTCAGCGTGTCCTCAATGCGATTTTCAAGGCTGGATTAACCCTCAGTGAAACATAGCAGTTTATCTGAAACTGCTATATTTACAGCTGCAGTGTTAAAACTAGGGGTACCTGGCACCCAGACCACTTCATTGAGCTGAAGTGGGAAGGGTGCCTATAGTGGTCCTTTAAGCTGTTATATTTTAGCCACACTGATTTTATAACTGTTTATCTTAATGGAGGGACAAGTCGGCATTATGTTAGACTAGATTAAAGGTGCAGGCAAACGATGCAAATTCGAAGACAATTTTATCTTATTCAATAACATGCAGAATATTTCTCCATATCAGTATTACAATGATTGGGTGTATAGAGTACGGACAAAAGCTTATATAATTCCATTATGTGTTGCATGTCCCTGACAATAAGCAGAAATCGGGAAATCCAACCTTTCATCAGCTCAGCTGGTATTGCTTATAAATCCTGTGACTCACGATCACAAGTTTCTCATTTCAAACAGAACATGAATTTTATATGAACCGTCAGGTTTGTACAAAACACCCACACATACACACATAAGAATATTGTATTGAGCGTTTCCTTGAAGAAGAATCTAACACAGAAATTTACTAAGCAGTGATATATTGGGCAATGATCTCCTGTGCAAGTCTTCGTATTACAGAGATTCTTGCATTTTAACAAATACCGGCACAGGAATTAAAAGTGGAAAAGGGCATTTTACCATTCAAAAGGCTTTCTAAAATGTAGTTCCGGCGATGTAACTGTCATAAAGTATTTCTAAACTTTAATCAATGATATCATATAAATAACTTGATTCCGGCAAGGACTCCTGTAGCAAATCATGCATCATTCATACAGCTCTGCTTTCTTGAGCTTCTAAAAAGTTATTTAAGGTGAAAGTAGTCATGCAACCTCAAGCAAACTTTAACTAATAGAATACAAATAAGTAAAACAAAACAAAACCTTCAGAGGTCTTAAACCATTAAGCACCAGAGGTTAAGCAATTCTGTATATTTAATAACCTACCTGAAATATTATAATTTTTTTCAAGTGTCAATGTGTACATATCATGGTACACACAACTTGGTCTTAAATTAGCCCCTTAAGGACCAAACTTCTGGAATAAAAGGGAATCATGACATGTCACACAGGGGTTAAAGAGCATTCAATTTCATCTATACACAGCTTTTTATATCAGCCTCACATATCCAGAATGCTGCCCTACATTCTAGTTATAATTATTATTATTGCCATTTGTATAGCGCCATCAGATTCCGTGGCGCTTTACAATATAAATAGGACAATTACAAGAAAACTTACAGGAACAATAGATTGAAGAGGACCCTGCCCAAATTAGCTTACAGTCTATAGGAGGTGCGGTGTAAAACACATTAGGACAGGAAATATCAATCAAATAAGGTGGGAGTGAAGCAGAGCTGGAGGAGATCAAGACAAAAACACAGGACCTCTAGATATCTGTGAACTACAACTCCCATTATGCCATGGAAGTCTGTTTGTTCCTTTTGAGATCCAGATCAGACTTAGCTGGTGCTTCTACACTTTGTTCAACCCGGCTCTACATAAATTGTACTACCTATTCTACGTCCGTTCTATAAAGGGACAAGCAGTGCTACATTTACACCCTGTGTCTTTTTGCTTCCTTCGTCACATTAGTCTATAACCAATCTAGAAGAAATCTTACTATTTCAGACCCATAGCTCATTATTGCATCTTCATTAATCCACAAACAATTAACCTTGTTTGCTCACGTAATTTATAGGTAAATAATGTGTATAATCAGATATGGATTATGCTCTTGGCACTCTAGCATCAAGTCTGGTGTGAAACAGCACTTGTCCCTCTTATGCAATTATATCTGCACTCCTTTTACCTTATAAGCTTGTTTTACCGGGGCCCTCCTCACCTAGTTACACACACTTCTATTGTAACCAGTTATATGAACACATACTGCACATGCCGGGGGCTTTTACTTTCCATTAACACAATAGTTTAACTGTATTTTGCTTTTATATGTAGTTTCAGCTATAGACTGTGTTAGACATGTCAGAGAAGCTTTGTGGAAGGACTTCAATTAGGTGTCAGGTGTCCACCAAAGTTTATGGTCTTATCTTATTCTTAACCACTTAATGACCACATGACTATTTCGTCATGCAGTGCAGGGCTTTCATGCCCAACGACAACAGACTGCCATGCAGTGAAAATATAGCAGGGGTTAAATCTCAGGTGGTACAAGGAATCCCAAGTATTAGTGGATATTTGGGGTTACAATCTGTCATTTGGGGCCAAGACAGACAGATGAGCTATGAGCATAGCCTTTAAATGCCACGTCTAAGCGATCTTGCTCAGCTGTGGTATTTCTACCACTGCCCCAGCCAACAGCAAAAATAAAAGAGATTCTCGGGTATTGTTTGATATCTGGGGGTCCCCTCTGTCAGTTGGGGCCACATTTAGTCTGACAGAAGAGCTATGAACAGCATTTTCTCTGTAATTTTAATTTTGCCCCCCCCATTCCTCTCCTGAAAAGACCCTGGTGAGTTCTCTCTGCTTCCCCTCTGCTTTAGGATCGGCGCTGCATTAGTGGGACATGTGTGGTTTGTGAATTTTCTCAAAATACAATATGGGTGGGGAAAAAAAAACTAATATGGTGATAAAATGGTTTTATAAAATGTGTCAAAATGCTTGTAGTTATAAAGTCTGTGGGATGTACTTTCTACAAATATATACTTTTATGTAGTGATTTTGGATTTTGTGACGACAATCAAATGTCAATCATTTTAATGTCAGGATGCCAAATTTTGCAAAGTTTTAGCTTTAAATTTGTAATTCGCTCCTTCCAGTATTTGCTTTATGACTTCTAAAAATGGAAATACTAGACATATTGGGCATTTTAACAATCAGGACGAATTAGTGAATCTATTTTGAGTTTAATTACTTTATTTGTCCTTGGTGTGTATAAATGATCAAATGTAAAACTGAGAATTATTACTGTAATTCCCCTCCCCTTCTTTTAATGGTGTCATGCATACACATAGGGTATTGAATTGGGTAATAGTAACACCCCGTGGATGTTGGGCTACGGTAACATCCCCAGGACATACTAGAAAACCAGAATAACCTGAATGTACTTTTCCTGGTTAAATACTTTGCTATTATTATTATTATTATTATTGTATGATATATAATATATATGGTGTACTTAAACAGAAAGGGGAAATTGTGGTAGAAATAACACATGGCAAAACCACCAACTGCCCCTTTGCGATCTGTGTATGGAGACAGGAGGGAGATATATTCCAAAAAAAGATAAATATGAGGGAGGACACAAGGCTGCAACCTGAATTTCAATATATTAAAATGTAATGTAAAAAAAAAAAAATACTGCAAAGGTAGAGAATGTAAATTATGACTTTTTAAGCAGAACTGGTCCATATGATGCAGTAAAGAGATTTGATCATAGAGGCTATAATGGTATTTTAAATATAAACAAAGATCGAATTAGATATTTTTCTGCAGTTGAAAACAATGAAAAGACTAGATAAATCTATTGTTTAAATGTTATGCTTTTGTATTACAGGCTAGTTTATGTTACCAGCATCGTCCATAAGATAAAAACGAAAAGGTAATTTTATTTACAAATGTGGCAACAATGTAACAAATGAGCTTTTCAATGTCTACTGGTTTACAACTTTTACTACAATATAACATATATATCTAAATATTTTGCATGGGAAGTAACATGAAAACATGTATAGAACTATCAAGTAAAATAACCTGTGTATGCAGTATTATATTATCTGTAAAATAAATGTAACAATTGTTATTATATACAGCAACATTTATTTTGATTAACTATATGTTAATGGCGAACACACACACAAACATACACACACATATAAAGAAACATTATTTTTCTTTAGTCATTTTAACACTTAACTTCAGGAAGTGAACCACCTCTACTGTATATCATTCAAACTGTTGTTTGTCAACAGTACAGTATCTGTTTCACATATATTAAACAACTGGGTTATTTATGTAATATTAATAGCGATATACATAGATATTATTATTATATTTATAGAGCGCCGTCAAATTCCGCAGCGCTTTACAGTGGGTGGACGAACAGACATGTAGTTGTAACCAGACAAGTTGGACACACAGGAACAGAGGGGTTGAGGGCCCTGCTCAATGAGCTTACATGCCAGAGGGAGTGGGGTAAAATGACACAAAAAGGTAAGGATAGTATTAGACAGTTGCAGAAGAGGAATCAGTCAGGAGCTATTAACAGTTTAATTCATACACTTTTGTGAAGAAGTGGGTTTTTAACGATTTTTTGAAGGAGTGGAGACTGGGTGAGCATCTAACGGAGGAGGGAAGTGAGTTCCACAGGAACGGTGCAGCCCTCGAGAAATCTTAAAGGCGAGCATCAGAGGTGGGAGTACGGACAGAAGATAGATGTAAGTCTTCAGCAGATCGTAAGGGCCTAGACGGGACATACTTGTGTATAAGTGAGGATAGATAGGTGGGAGCAGCATTATGTAGAGATTTGAAAGCAAGAACCAGAATTTTACATACACAAAAAAAATAAAAATAAAACTAAGGTATGTATTTATATTTATAGATAGAAAGCCACGACAAATTTTGTTCCACGGTATTTCTAGGTAATAGTGATAAATCTAATTTGGGAATGAGAGATGATGTTTGCAATATTTTTATCTATAAATAAAATATAATAATTACACATTGATTTATAATAACTACTACAGTAGTTCAGACTCCGCAGAAGTAGCCCATTGATTATAGATTAATTGTTTAATTGTTAAAACAGGAAATACTGCTTACTCTATAAAAAACACAAGATATAAATGACAATAAAATAAATATAATCGCGCTTTTAGTAAACATAAAAATGAAAACATTTATAGAATACATCCAAGGGCTTACAAAAAAACAGCTTGAGCTGACTTGTTCTCTATACCCAATATTGATTCATTTTCAGGGTAGGATTTGTTGCTCTACAGTGTTGAATCATTTCAGGATCCATTAGTAGCCAGGAGTTCTGTTGAGCATTTATGGTAAGAGATGGGTCATATCTAGTAGGCGAATGGTCATGCCTCGTGGACAATACTGGGCTCACAGAGATGTAATCCGTGCTTTTCTGTAGAGGGGTTACTGTGACAGTTGGCACTGTTGTACTTCTTTCAGTGTGTGGGCTCGGGACCTGAGGCACAATGCTATATGAATGGCTTCTGACGTGTGGCTTAGTCTTTTTTGTCTTACGTTTTAGAAGCCAAAACCAAACAAAGAAAATGGCAGCCAGTAGCAAAATAGCAAATATCACAAGTGGAATAATTATGGAAAGTGTATTGCTGCCTTGACTTGGCTCTGATTTAGGGCTTATGGCAACAGATTTTATGGTAGCCACAGTCACTCTTCTGGAGGAACTAGTGGTTACTGTGTCTGTGTCATAGAAAAGATTGTCGTCATCCTTTAGGCTTCCCCATCGATTGCGATTCCCAAGCCGCTGTACCACCTTTATGGGTGCATTTGCAGTTGTAGTATTTTGCCAGTGATTCAGTGTATTTTTCTCACTGGCAACAGAGGTAAGCAATGGTTGAGATTGAGATTTGCTTGTTGATATAGATGCTTCTGTTGTCACAAAGAGGGAATCATAAGGAACCACGGAGTAGTGGAAGTATCCTATTGCAGGTGGCACATTTTTGGCCTTGAGTAAGAAAGCAAAAGAGTCATTTAGCATTTCCACATCTGTAACATTGGCAATTACATCCAATTGTACACAACCTGTATCAATGTCATTTTGCGTAAACATATCAATAACTTCTAGTACGTGCTTTTGGGGATGTTTTCTTTGTACAAGTCTAGCATATGTCGGAGAGTCAAGCAGATAGAATTCTGGATCACTACTTGTAATATTTGCCAATTCAGTTGCGTCTAGGTCTTTTTTCTTTAATGTGTAAACTGTACCTGCTGCTATCTTTATCTCCGATCCCACATTCAAGAGAGGTTCCACTGTAATATTAACCACCTGACCTGTGAGGTTGCTTTCAGATGTGAAGACAACAATCTCAAAACTATCATAAGATGCATTAAGGTGCCCAACTTCGTAAGTTATTTCACCCAGGTCTATGTTGTTCTGGTCAAACTTGGTCACAGCTATACTGTCTATGATTAGCTGGCCAAAGAGAGACGGCTGTACCACTTCATAGCTTATAACAGTGCTCTTTCCATCTGTTACTGCTGCCAAATGAGCATTAGTAATGTTAACCAAGGTTTGTCCTTGAGGAATGGCAAGATTTGTTTTGTTAACTAAGGTGATCGAAACAGGAGTGACTTCCAGATTAAACAGTTTATACAAAGGTTTGTGCTTCCCATCAGTCACACTAAAATAAAAAAGTCCAGAAGAAGCGCTTCCATCTTGCACAAACCAAAGATTTCCATGATTAATATCTGCTTGTGTAAAATGTTGAACAGAAACATTAAAATGTTCTCGTTTTGCCAAGAAACCATTATTAGGAGGACTTATAATGGTGTATTTTATATCTGCTGGAGGGTTATCTAGATCTTCAACGTTTAGATTGTTCGAGGAAATGGCGATCTTTTTCCCTTGCAAGACTTTCAAATATGGTCTTTTTGTCTTTAGCTCTGGAGCTTGGTCATTTACACCTATGACAGTGATGTTAAACATCTCTTCCACTACACCAGCCTCTGGCTTCACCGCTGATTTGCTTTTTAAGTTAAGCCAGGTAGCAAATGTAAAATTATCACTGAGAGACTCGGAGCCATCATGCAGATATGTAATTCCAAATTTGTTGATAATGTACTGTGAAAAGTTGGGTTTTTCTTTTGTAATATTCCGATCTCCGACTATAATTACTCCGTGGCTGGGCATTAATATCACCTGGTACCAAACTTCGTAGGAGGGGCGTTGGGATTCTGGAAGCTTGACCAAAAGATTTGAAGCATCCAACATTGACTTGGTTATTAGAATTTTTCCACCTTCCTCAACAGCAGCACCTAGTACAAAACAAATCTACGTTAGTACATTGTATTTTACAGCGGATTCCATTCCAAGACTCTTCATATCAATCGAGAAATGTGTACTAAAGAAAGGCATAAAATATAATTTACATGTTTACCTGTATTGGCTACAAGTTGTGTCAATCTCTTAGGATCACTAATATCATAAGATACTGTGATAAGGAATACTTGGGAAATCAGGACAGCTGGGGGAGCAGAAACTGTGAATGAAAATGAATCCGGTGTACTCCAGACCACAGATTCTCTATCTGTATGTTCATACAATATTAACCCATCATTGACCTGTGCAAAGACATAAAAACCAGTAAGTAGCCGATCTACAGATAGCTAACATATAGGCTTAAGAAACAGAGTTTTTAACTGTATTAAAAAAACAACAACATATTATTCATGTGTTTTGAGGAATGTAGGGTATTTACATTTTCAAATTTTTGTGTCCCTTGCACATGCTAGTTATTTGTTAATCGCACATAACCTTTGTGAACTGCAACTGCTGGTACTTTGTTTTGTGCAAGTTGTCTCCCGGTAGATGATTGTAAATTGCCACTCGTGAGCCAAAATAATGCAACACGAATGAATTGTATTATGATGCTATGTTGGTTTGTTTACAGTATTTAGATTATATTTAAGGGACACAAATTAATAATATGCATAAAGGACAAATTATGAACATTTGTGAATTGGAAGAAAAATATATCCCTAAATAAATATTCTACAACCTTTCAAAAAGGTATCAGAAATCCTTCAAAATGATAAAAATCCTTGAATCATGCATGCCCTAAAACTAGATGTACAATTCACAAACCCTGCTGTAAAAAAATATCTTACTGTAAATCATGCTAAGTACATCTAAATAAACATGCAACCTATTTCAACATTATGTAAACAGTACTGCTAATATAGGGCTCCCCCTACAGGGTTTTGTATGAAATATGTGAACAAAACAAAAAGACACCTAGGTTAGTCAGGTGCCAGGCATTAGGCTCCACTTTAGTTATTTAAAGCACAACTTCAAATAAACTTGAGATCTTAAAAAATGTAGAGAATAGTATAAAATATGAAGATAACAGCTTTACCATATCTTTAGTAGTTTATTCAACATGTTTTGATGTGATTGATTTATGTAAATTAGCACATTTTAGAGGGCTAAAAAAATATCTAAAATGATATTGATACCTTAGAGAGGGTTCAGAGAAGGGCTACTAAACTGGTTCATGGATTGCAGGATAAAACTTACCAGGAAAGGTTATAGGATCTTAACATGTATAGCTTGGAGGAAAGACGAGACAGGGGGGATATGATAGAAACATTTAAATATATAAAGGGAATCAACACAGTAAAGGAGGAGACTATATTTAAAAGAAGAAAAACTACCACAACAAGAGGACATAGTCTTAAATTAGAGGGACAAAGGTTTAAAAATAATATCAGGAAGTATTACTTTACTGAGAGGGTAGTGGATGCATGGAATAGCCTTCCAGCTGAAGTGGTAGAGGTTAACACAGTAAAGGAGTTTAAGCATGCGTGGGATAGGCATAAGGCTATCCTAACTATAAGATAAGGCCAGGGACTAATGAAAGTATTTAGAAAATTGGGCAGACTAGATGGGCCAAATGGTTCTTATCTGCCGTCACATTCTATGTTTCTATGTTTCTATACCCACATAATTTGGATCTACAATTATTTAGAACAAGATGCTTGCAGGTACCACCAAAGGTTAGTGAAATGTTTCACCAGAAAACAAAGAAAAACACGTAATTTATCATTTGCAAAATAACAACCAAAACCATCCCAGGAAATCACCACATGACCAGCAGGAGGAAATAATGAAATCCCAATGGGTGCTTAGAATTTAACAACAATTAATTAAAATAACAGATGAAAAAATGTTTTGCTGCTTGAACCAAATGTTTTCTGAAACAAATAATTCTGGGATTTCAGTCATACTGAAATACAAATGAGCAGCCACAACATTAAAACCACCTGCCTAATATCATGTGGGACCTCTTTGTGCTGCCAAAACAGCTCTGATGCAATGAGGCATTGGACTCCACAGGACCTCTGAATGTGTCCTCCTTTGGTATTTGGCACCAAGACAGTAGCAGCAGATCTTTTACGTCCTGCAAGTTTTTTGGATTGAAATCTGGGGAATTTGGAGGCCAATACAACACCCTAAACACTTTGTCATGTTTCTTAAACAATTCCTGAACATTTTTTTGCAGTGTGGAAGTGTGCATTATCCTGCTGAAAGAGGCCACTGCCATCAGGAAACACTATTGACATGAAGGGGTTCATGTGGTCTGCATGCTCTTGGTAGGTAGTACATGTCAAAGTAACATCCACATGAATGCCAGAGGTTCCACAGCAGGATATTGCCCAGAGCATTACACTGCCTCTGCTGGCAAGCATTCTTTCCATATTGCATCCTGCTGCCATCTCTTCCCCAGGTAAAAGATGCGCATGAACTTGGCAATCCCCCTGATCTAAACTTGATTCAACAGATCAGGCAACCCTTTTCCATTGCTCCATGGTCCAGTTCTGACAATCACATCCCCATTGAAGGCGCTTTCTGTGGTGGACAGGAGTCACCATGAGCCCTCTTACTGGTATGAGGCTACGTAGCAAACTGCAATGAACTGTGTGTTATGCTATTTGGAGCTAATGGAAACTTTGTTCTGGGTGGTTATTCCACCTTTTTAAGTTAATAATATTCATTAATCTAAAGTACAAGAAGTTGACTAGTTATTGCAGATGTTTGTGGAGTTGGCATGAGTATGCTGCTCATAGTGAGTGGGAGATAAGCCAGTCTGAATGAAGCAGGAAAAGTGAAGAGTGGATTTAGGTTGAAATGTTGGTAACTTTTACATATTATATTTTTAACATATAAGTATTCTAGTGATGTTTCAGAATAAAGTTTCATAATAATTCAAACAGTTTGTTAAAATAACAATTCCAATGAAAATGTTTTGGGGGGCTGGAGTCCATGTTTTTAAAACTTTTTTTTTTTTTAATGAATATTATAAAACCAAAGAGAGTCTAGAATACTTTTAGAAGACTTAAAAAGGTGGAAAAACCATCCAGAAGAAAAAAAAAAAAAAGCTTCCCTTAGCTCCCAATATTTGAAATGATCTTCTTCTGTATCTGCTATCAAACCGTTAATGTATTGAATTGTTGGATCTCGACAACAACTAGTTTAACCCCTTAAGGACACATGACGGAAATACTCCGTCATGATTCCCTTGTATTCCAGAAGTTGTGTCCTTAAGGGGTTAAACTAAGAGTCACTTCAAACTATTCTTGCTAGTAAGAAGCTTGCTAAACAAATATGGTGTATCTCTGGAACACATATTGTTTGTTTAAATGTAGAAACTTATACATTGTGGGATACAAACCATTTCTTGTGTGAAAGTAGAGACTTCCTCAGTTCTGTTCGGTGTGGTTAACTTTACAATTTTTCCATGTTTTGGTGGACTGACAACAGTAAATGTTACTGTCCTGTTCCTCATATTATCTTCATCATTAGTTACTGCTTTTAATACATCAGAAGAAATACCCTTTTTGGTTCCTGAAAAACACAATACAAAAGTCAGAGCTAACTATAGTATGAAGGAAATTGTGGGCAGTGTAATCTGTAAAAAGTATAACAACAACAACAATAATAAAAAAAACCATAAACTGTATCAACCTCTAATACTGTAAGCAGGGTTGCCCTTTTTTGACTTCCCAAGGTTTCCCAGCAGAACACTGTCCAGAGCTACTGCCATCTTGCCTATTCTCTTCCCCAGGTAAACCATGCACCCGACCAACCACCTTATCTAAAACAAAATGTGATTCGTCAGACCAGACAACCTTCTTCCATTACTCAATGATCCAGCGGCAGATCGGCAGTGGACAGAAGTCATCATAAGCACTCTGACCGGTCTGCGGCTTTGTAGAAATGCACTGTGACACACTGTGTGTTCTGACACCTTTCTATCAATTATTTAGATGTCCATAGAGACATGGGATAGTGCACAAGTAACATTTTGATTTGGTTTTTATTGTATTGATTGGGTTGATGTCTACTATAGTCATTGTTGCTGCCCAGGAGTAGTGGGAGTTTGAGAGCAGGGTTTAGTTTTGCATGTTTGTATTTGCTTTTGTATTACACAGCCATGTAACGGTCCTGCCGCCCACCCCATGTGTTCCGCCTACCCCATGGGTTAAGAAGTGTGTAGAGGGTGAAAAAATAACCTTTGTCTCTTTGTCTCTTTGTCTCAGAGATTTTACCTTTTAGCTGAAAGCAGCAAGGTGAATTGTTAGTGTAAGACTCCCCTAAGAGGTTTTGCCTTGACGTGGCAGATGAGATTACACTTAAAGGGAAACTCCAGTGCCAGGAAAACAATCCGTTTATATGGCACTGCAGGTCCCCTCTCCCTCCCACCACCCATCCCCCGGTTGCTGAAGGGGTGAAAACCCCTTCAGGTCACTTACCTGAGACCCCACCGATATCCCTCGGCGGTGGTTTCTGCTCGCTGACGCCCCCTTCAGTGATTACGTCAGCCAGTGGGTGAGACTGATCCCGCCCGCCGGCTGAGGAAACCTAAAGCGCACATGCGCATTAGAGCTCTCCATAGGAAAGCATTGAAAATGCTTTTCAGTGCTTTCCTATGGGGAATTGAGCGACGCTGGAGGTTTCCTGTGCTATGGACACGAAAGTGCCCTCTAGTGTCTGTCTGGTAGACTGCCACTAGAGGTGGAGTTAACCCTGCAAGGTAATTATTGCAGTTTATATAAAACTGCAATAATTACACTTGCAGGGTTAAGAGTAGTTTGAGTTGGCACCCAGACCACTCCAATAAGCAGAAGTGGTCTGGGTGCCTACAGTGTCCCTTTAAATGGCCACTTTAGTGATACTAACATACCTCCAGTTATTGAAATGTGCATTGGGCCTTGGGATAGTCCGAAAGTAACTTTTTACTTTAGTTTCTACCTTTCTATCATGGCCAGCATTACATTTTTCAGAAATACGAGCTACAGTAGCTCTTCTGTGTGATCGGACCAAATGGTCTAACCTTTGCTTCCCCCATGCATCAACAAGCCTTGGGCACCAATGATCCTGATGCTGGTACGCCAAATTTTGTAGGTAACAATTGCATATTGGGAACACCCTACAAGACTTGCTGTTTTGGAGATGATCTAGTCATCACCGTTTGTCAAAATCACTCAGATATTTTAACTTGTCCATTTTTCCTGCTTCCAATACATGAAATTCAAGAGCTGACTGTTCACTTGCTGCGTAATATATTCCACCCTTGACATGTACCATTGTAACAGTATAATCAATGTTATTCACTTCACCTGTAAGTGGTTTTATTGTTGTGGCTGATAAGTGTAGATATTGAAAAAAATAACATCCGTACCCCTGGAAGCACTTAGGCGATATATACTTTTCTGGGTTAAAGGGACACAAAAGTCATCCAAACTACTCCATTACAATTAAGTAGTCTGGGGGCAGTGGTCCTGTATGTTGGCCTTCAAATCAAAACGTTGGCATTTTGCAGAAAGGGCAATGTCTACTTTGAAGGGTTAAGCAAAGATGACATTGCCATTATAGGTGCTTACACTGCACTGATCAAGTAAAACTCAGTCACGTCACATTGCAGCTCACAGGAAATCCCACATTTGCATCAGGTCCCTAATGATGGAGGAAGTGGTGCCTCCTCTATGACATTGCTGGAGTTAGAGATGCCAGAAATGCAGAGGGAGTCTCAGAGCTAAAAAAGGTAAGCCAAAACCCTTTTATAAACAATTTTATGGCAACAAGGGGGAGCTGAATATAACTAGTGACAGGGGCACTGTAGGAATATAAGCCTGTATTCCTAAAGCTACAGTGTTCCTCTAAATATCTGAAAGTATTATTTAAAGACAAATTACCTGGAAATACTCCCAATCCTTTGTTAACTTCTATGTTTATGACAAGGGTCCTTGCGGTGATACTAAAGATTTGCCGTGGTGCAAAATTCAAACCATCTGTGACCTGGAAGTTAAACCCCCCCGACATTGCTCCTGAAAAGAAATGAGTATAGACTCAGAGATGCATAAATTCTGAGATATACGATTAAAATACACACTAAAAACATATGCATAGAAAATGGCTAAAAGATATTTAAAGGTATTTGCAGTCATTATCTGCTGAAAAAAAATAAGTGTCGTTACACTGCCTGGAAAATTATCTTTTCAAATATTCTGGGTGCAATGTACTTTAGTCATAGGTCTTCAACTTTATGCTCTATCTAGGCTAGTCAATGTTATATCTACAAAAACAAAAAGTATAAAATGTAATAATCCTACATAAAGCATTACATTCCTTGTCTTATGCCAATATATTTTTTATATAACTGAGAGAAAGAACACTTTTCTTGTCACTGTTGCAGTAAACACCAATTCAATCCTTTTGCATGCAAATATGCTGGACTGAATATATATCAATATGAAGCACCAGGTGCAGTGGGACAAATAATTAATAATTCTTTAACATCTGAAAGACAAATCTGAGGTAGTCAAGTTTAAAAAAAAATGGCTGAAGTTCACTGTATTTACAAACACCAACAATGAATAATGAAATTAAAGGAAAAAAATGCATAGATTACACCAAAAGATTGGGGTGTTGAGGGGTGGGAGGGGGTTAATGTTACACTTCACTTGTAAAACTATTATCAGACTTATTAAATATATTAATAACAGTATTTACAGGCATTTATTGTACAAAATGTACAAATGCAAAAGGTCCTAGGCTTGAACAGCAGTCACCAATTGATTTCTGTATATTACACACAACAAGTTGATGTTCTAGTGCAGAGAAACCTTACCGTAAAATATTATAGAACTTACCACTATGTACAAATACAAGATAACCTTCATTTATGTGTTCCTGGGTGAAATTGAGGATACTTTTGTTGGGATCAGATTTTAGTGCCAAGTAGCCATTGTTTGGTGGAGTAATGGAATACACAAGATCTGCTGGAGGAGAGTCCTTATCCTCAGCAGATAGGTCCTCGGAAGTAATTTCTGTGACCGAGCCAACCCACACCTGGAATTAGAGAATATTTTCTGATGCTGTTTGTTTGTTTTTATGTTAATATATACACAGTTTTAGTGGTAGTTACAGACATAGCCAGTATCCCAAATGCACCCCTAATGTATTTATATCTAAGGGCGGTGGTGGGGTGACAGTGTCTATAGTTGGGTAACAGGGGCAGCAGTGGGGTGACATGGACTGTGGTGGGGTGACAGGGGCTGTATAAAAGTTACTTCCCCCCTCCCTTGGACCATTCCTACATTCTGATGCCCCCACTTTTCAATTAAACCCTTAAAAGGACCACTGTCCTATATGTAAAACACGAACAAAAGAAGCTGGTCCCAGAGGACCAGTGACCTAACCATATTGAAATGCAGTTAGTCGCAGTGGAACTGCTACATGCACAGTGATCACCATCAAAAAGCTAAATGTAACTGCTCTGGGCCAGAAGCACTTAGGATTAACTCCTTCCCAATAAGTTACCGGCATGCGTTTGCTCTCAGAGTGATCCATGTGTAGGAAAACATTTTAACACTTTAACAGTATACTGCACATATTTGCCCTGCATGTGAGTATGAGGCTTGGCAATGAAAGGTTGCCCTCATCTTTTCAGTAACCACAAATCTACAGCGAACAAAAGATCTTTAAACTTCACCATCATATAGAGAAGAATTAAGATCCAACAGGGCCCTAGGCAAGTTACCAGTTTAGTGCCTTTCCTTCCTTCTTCACATATGGATGGCTAATGGGTCAAGCTAATTCATAGTTTCATGTCCCCTGTCTAACCCTTAGGGCCATTATCTTGCTCTGACAACATACACAGTGATCATAAGTGATAGGAAGGCAAAGATAAGTAAAGTTTAACTGCATCATTCCCACATTCTGCTGCCCCCACTCACTTTAAATAGAAAATGATTTAACTCCTCCATTATCATATTATAGGATCAGTATAGGTAAAAAAAAAAATGCATATCATTGTCCTACTCCCCCCCCCACCCACCCCCCCAGGAGTAAACCTACTGTCACTAAATGTTTTTCCCCCCTAAACAGTGTAAAAATTAGCTTTAGAAACACCTTTTTTAAATATTAGAAACATAGAATGTGACGGCAGATAAGAACCATTCGGCCCATCTAGTCTGCCCAATTTTCTAAATACTTTCATTACTCCCTAGTCTTATCTTATAGTTAGGATAGCATTAGGCCTATCCCACGCATGCTTAAACTCCTTTACTGTGTTAACCTCTACCACTTCAGCTGGAAGGCTATTCCATGCATCCACTACCCTCTCAGTAAAGTAATACTTTACTTCAAATTGGGCAGACTAGATGGGCCTATTGGTTCTTATCTGCCATCACATTCTATGTTTTTATGTTTATTTAATTAAACATATAAATATTTATTTGATTAGCTTTTCTGTTCATCCTGATTTTATGTAATTTCCCCCTTTGCGTTCTCCCTGCTTCCTGTATTTCAGCCGGACTGTTCATTAATGGCCATGCTCCAGTGATTCTCTATGAGAATCAATAATGACACACCTTTATGGGTGTGCTGGAGCTTAGTGATACTATTTGCATCATTTAACACATGCCCACAATGCCTGCCCAAGAAGTACTCACACTAAGTTACACTACAAATACAGCATTCAGACACTAGAACTTACATATCACATCTCTCACCCACACCGACACACACACACCGTATCATATAGTGTCATAGGTTTTAGTTTTTTTTTAAATAAATAAATATAAAGGGACAGGCAAACTCATAAATACCTGTAGAGCTTTGTGTAATATATCAATCTCTCTATATCTCTATCTAGGGAGATTGAATAACAGGGGCTGGAGGGCAAGTGGGTACTGAGGTTGACAGACATTGATTGTCAGGGAAGGGGTTAACAATGGGTAGTGAAGTTGGCTGACAAGTGCATTTGGGTAGTGAGGTTGGCTGACGGGGACTGGCAGGGAAGGAATTAACAGTGGGTAGTGAGGTTGGGTGACAGACTGACAGGGAAGGGGTTAACAGTGGGTAGTGAGGTTGGGTGACAGAGACAGTTGGGTAGTGAGGTTAGCTGAGAGGGACAGGCAGGAAAGGAGTTAACAGTGGGTAGGGGTGTTGGCTGACAGAGGCTGCAGGATAATTTACTTGCATTACAAACAGGGAGGTAGAGGAGCGAATATGGGCTCTAGCTTTGTCTCTGTGGTGCAGTCTGTGCTGTGAGCATTCCTTACACTGCAGAAGACATGCCTCTATTTTTATTGGCTGAAAAAGGTATGTTTCTTTCAGAGTCTGGGAACCAGGAACATGTTGACATATGAGAGGGGGGTGGTTAAGGAGGCTGGGTTACACTGGTGAAAACAGCAAAACATTTTACAGCACTGCAGGAAAACTACACAGAATTGGAAGAAAATAAACTAACCACAGGTATTTCAGCTTATTAGCTTTCATTTAAACGTACCTTGTTTAGCTGCCTGGAGTGTCTCTTGAAGAAACATACTCAACTTTCTGTCACTTGCCGTAATTGAGAGTGACACTGCCCTAACCTTCCCATAATAAACCAAGCTTTCTCTATAGAAAAGTTAACCTTTTCTTTACTGTATTATTATGAATGACGAAGAGTAGAAATATGGCCCAGAAGCAACAAGCCCTCCTTTAATGAAATTGTGAATTATACGAGGATAAACATGCTCAACAAATCCAGTATAAACATAATCACAACAAGCACATTTATTTTGAGACACATTTTCTCTGCTTGTGTATAATGATTATAAGCAAGAAAATAAAAGAGCAGGAAATTACAGTTAAATAAAAGTAGCAAAACTAATCTGGTCCTAGTGTGTTAAATAGCCTTGGTACCTAATGGTTAAGGTATTCTAAGTAGCAATTGTTTGTTAACTTGACAATGTAGAATATGCAGAGTCGCAAACATCTTCTAATCTTTAAAAGGGCTGATATATATATATATATATATATATATATATATATATATATATAAATAAATAAAAAAAAATTTTACCCCTCCTGGGTGGTATGTTTATTCCTCATTCTCGGGTCCTCTACCAGAGGCCTGGGAGTCTGAGGGTTCTGTGCAGTAGCTGTTCCTAGAACTGCACACTTCTGGACAGCGATCTCAGATGTCCCACCTGGAATCTGTTGAAGCCACCTCCCCCCACCCCCAACATCCTTTCTAGTTCTTCTTTCATGTGTTGGTACTTCTCCACATTCTAATGTTCCTTCTTCCTGATGTTATAGTCACTGGGTATCCACATCCACTACGACTGCAGTCTTCCTTTCCTTGTCTACCACCACGAGGTTGGCCAGCACTTGCTGGTCTGTCTGGATCTTAGATCATTCTCAACTACCCTTCTGCTGGTGTATGCTGTTCCTGCAAACATCTTACATGTAGCTACTTTGTGCAGGACATCTTGCATCCGGCTACTAGGTGCTGGCTTCTTTGTGGTAGACCCCATTCCATGCTAGGATAAGTGCCTTAGTGCTGTCTTTCAGTCCTGCCTTTTCCAACCACTGCCTTCACTTTCCACATCCTTTCTAGCTCTTCTTTCAGTCTTGTTATGTTCCTTTTTCCTTATGTTCTAGTCACATGACTGGTACTAAACATACATTGTTTCTTGTCTTCCACCACTAAGTCAGGTTTGTTAAACAGTACTTTTTCTAGGATCATATTTCTTATATCTGTTATGTCCTCGCTGGGTGGGGATTCACCCAAAGAGTATCCCCATACCCTCTGCAAGTATGTATGTGGGTATGGGAATTTCTTCCTCATGGAGATTTCTTCCTCATTGCAAATGGTTCATGTTTTCGGTAGTCAATCCAATTCCAGTTGTAACACTAGCTTTCTCTTGACAATGTTCCAATGTTGTGTTACCAGCTGTTTTGGTGTTAGGGTAGATGATGGTCACTTGCTCATCCATAGTTCCCACGTACATTTCATGTAGCCTGCTTGTGCCTGCTGTTATAGTAGCATTCAAGCGGTCTTGATTCTTGTTTTGTGTCCAGGAATGGTTTGTTCCAGTAGCTCGCTTGTCATCAGATTGCCCTGGCTCCCTACCATCTGATACAGGAATAACCTCATATTATTGAGGTGGGCAGGGTATACATCGTTAGGTATATCGCCCAGGGTCACTTACTGGTCGGACCGGGATTGTGGTTCCTAGCTCTAAGTCAATGACATTGATATCCAGTCAATATATTATTATAATATCTATCATATAAAAAAATCCTGATTTTATAGTGATTTTAGCTACCTCGATATATATAATGAACAATATAAGGTATCTGTTCTACAACAATTGAGGCTATTTGTTTAAAGGAACACTATGGGGTCAGGAATACAAACATGTATTCCTGACCCTATAGTGTTAAAACACTATTTAGGTCCCCCTCACCCCCTTCCCTTTAAAAAGGACAAAAATTCACCTTTCAGCAGCTCGCAGGTCAGCCAGCTCTGGCTCCGCCCCTGCTCTGCTTCCTTGGCTGAGATTATCAAAATTGATCAATGCATCTCAATGGTGAAAGTATAGCACCTCCATGCAGAGCACTGGAAGTGTCCCTAGGGAGGAATGTTTTCTCTGTAAAGACAGTGTTTACATTAAAAAGTCCGCAGGGACATACTATACTCACCAGAACAGCTACATTAAGCTGTAGTTGTTCTGTGACTATAGTGTCCCTTTAAGCTGGAACCTCAGCACCCTCTGTTTCTGTAGTTTCCCTTTAAGCAGGGCCCTCAGCACCCTCTGTTTCTGTGCGTCCAACTTGTTGCAACTACTTGTTTCTTATTCCACCTATTGTACAGCGCTGGATAATTATTTTTGTGCTCTCTCTTGCTCTATAGCTTTGCATGATAGTGGAGGAAACATTTGTGTAGATAACGTGCTGCAGCCATTAACATCATTTCTGTTGTAGAAGATCTGTCATACAATAAAAATGTTCCATACATTATACAGAAATGTATTCTTACTATTTTTAAATAAAACAAAGAGCTATGGCATACGTCGTCTAGTGCTCTTTGTGTTTTCATTAGATCTTTTTCCATATTAAAGATTAAAATAAAACTATTCAACAAAAGTTTTAAAACAATCTATGGGAGGTTAAGTAATATAGGGACATATCTTAATTCTGGTGCTAGTATACTGAAATGAATTATGAAATATATGAATGCTGCATAATAAGAACAATGAGTGTTATACCTATTAAGAGATTAGGTATTACAGTGACATCTAGTGGAGATTAAATAACATGGAGTCTCTAAATCAATAAGGCCCATTAGCAACTGGATTGAGACAATATGGGACGAGGCCTTTCTAGTGAATGAGCAACCATTGTTTCTTAATTTTGGTAGGTATGACCCCAGGGGTCCATAAGTGAGATCTTCAACCTCCCTTATACTAATATGAAGGTTACGTTGACCCCCTGGACTTTTTCTTTTTACATTTATACTTTTACATTGGTTATGTCCTGGTGCCCCCTCACAATATAAGTAGTCATACTGTTTAAGAAAGTTTTGGCTTCATACCTGAGGTCTGCTATTTGCCTGAGCTAAGCCCGGCAGTGCAGGGCTAATGGAATCTCCCAGCAGGAGCTCCCTGCTCTCAAAGTTAAAGAGAAGAGGCCTTACCCCAGGTAAAATGTCAAACTGTTCTGAAATGCTGTAACGAATATAGTGCGTTGAGTGTTCTTTACCTTACAACCTGCAACATTTAAAAAAAAAAAAACATTAAAGTAATATACTTATATATTTATATATAAAAAATTGTTACCCGAAATATCCGATTAGTTGTAATAACTGGAAGCTCATCGTTTACTGGGGTCACTGTTACATAAATTGTTTGTGGCAGACTTTGCTTGGCGAGTTCAGTGTTATTGACTATTATGGAAAAATTATCGAATGAAGTTTCACTGTCATCATGGGTGTAGTAGATCAACTCCTGCTCCGCCTTCAAAGAGAAATAAACAGCATTTAATAATTTGCTAAATAATCTGATCAGAACTTCTATGCAACAATAAGGAGTACAAGCTCGAAATATTATAACAATATCCTGAAACTGCATATTTATTCCATGGGAAAGGGAACATTAATTTTGGATATGAGTACAATTTTAAAACTACTCAACATGGAAAATACATTTTACTTCATTTACGATGCTAGGGAGTTATAGAAGTTGAAAGCTTATATTATTTGTTTAAATTCTATGAATACCTCAGATGTTTTGGTGTCCGTTTTGGCAATTAGACCTTACACATTCCACAGAAAGCAGAGGCGCAAGTGGAAAGTTTTTGTATTACCATTATTTATATGAAGGCTTGGACTTTCACTGTCAGGATGAACACACACAACTTCAATCTTTGTATTAGACAAAACGTATTGTGGCTCAGTTTAAGTGTAACACTCATGTAGCCTGATATGGGGAAACATTGATCCATGAAACCCAACGTGTCACTGAGCCCACAGGACTGGTCATTCTGGAAGGTACTTCATATTGATTTGGGAAGACCATGTGTTGAGGATTGCACATTGATAGATGAGACACCTATGGACCCTTCAAGGAAATTTTCACCTTTATTCACCTTAACCTAGCCTTTTAGTTGCCATGAACAACAATTTATGCACTACAAGCACCCAGCTGGACTCAGCAATGGCTTTATTTAATTACACTTTACTGTTGCATATGTGAGCAACGTTGGTGCTTCACTTTCTACTTTAAATTCTATGAATACCTCAGATGTTTTGGTGTCCGTTTTGGCAATTAGACCTTGCACATTCCACAGAAAGCAGAGGCGCAAGTGGAAAGTTTTTGTATTACCATTACTTATATGAAGGCTTGGACTTTCACTGTCAAGATGAAGACACACAACTTCAATCTTTGTATTAGACAAAACGTATTGTGGCTCAGTTTAAGTGTAACACTCATATAGCCTGATATGGGGAAACATTGATCCATGAAACCCAACGTGTCACTGAGCCCACAGGACTGGTCACTCTGGAAGGTGCTTCATATTGATTTGGGAAGACCATGTGTTGAGGATTGCACATTGATAGATGAGACACCTATGGACCCTTCAAGGAAATTTTCACCTTTATTCACCTTAACCTAGCCTTTTAGTTGCCATGAACAACAATTTATGCACTACAAGCACCCAGCTGGACTCAGCAATGGCTTTATTTAATTGCACTTTACTGTTGCATATGTGAGCAACGTTGGTGCTTCACTTTCTACTGTATACTATAATAATATACGTTGGTGGAAGTAATCATACATGCATATTACCTGTTTTGTAGTAAAACGTGAGAGCTTTATTCCAGGATATCTTGTGTTTTCCACAAAACCATTCTTTGGAAAATCTATCAAGACAAAATCACAAACTAGACCTGCAAAGTGCTTGCTGGGGATTCTTAATTGTTCCAGTGTTAGGACCTTTGATGCCCCTTCCTTCACAGTTATATTTTGTACCTCCAGAGGGATCAAAGTAGGAATGATATCGACAAACAATGTAATTCCAGTGACCTCTCGCACTCCATTGGTAACATCCATTGTAAAGTTATCATGAAGCTGACCAAAGCCTGTTTGTACATACTGAACATTTCCCATGTTAACGTCCTTTTGTGTAAAAGTCACCAGAGAACTGGATTCTGTAGCCAAGTGTCCTTCCGTAGGTTCAAATTTGCGTATGTAACCATGTAATGGGCTTGTTACTACTGTGAAAACTATTTCATTGGGTGAGTTATCTTCATGGATAACCTAGAATAAAACACAATTGTTATATGAAATTAAATGTTTGTAGAAAAATCTAAATCAAGAATATGCAAATTAATTATATTGATTACATTATATAACCATTGCATATAATATCACCAAGGTAAGGAGTCATTTTAAAAATTAGTTTAAAAATATTAAGTCATTTAATCTTCGTTCAAAGTGCACCTCGTTGAAACCCAACCATTCCCTGTGATTAATCCCAACTTTGAAACTTCTCAAGGTGTATTTCACTGAACCCTAACATTCCCCTAAGACTGATAGGGCTTCCTGGAACTTACCAAAGTGCAAATTGCAGATGTTTATACAGTGAGGGAAAAAAAGTATTTGATCCCCTAATAATTTTGAACGTTTGGCCACTAACAAAGAAGTGATAAGTCTATAATTTTAATGGTAGGTGTATTTTAACAGTGAGAGACCGAATACCAAAAAAAAAAAAAATCCAGAAAAACGAATGTCAAAAAAGTTATACATTGGGGGGCGTGGCCGACCGTCGGAAGTGATGGACGCACACTGAGCGAGCTCCGCGATCACGGGCTCGAAAACGCGGCTAAAACAACCCTTACCGGGTGCATCCCCTGCCCACCAACGCTCACATAATGTCCCAGCACCGGGCGAAAAAGGCTACGGAGGCAAAAGAAAAAAACGCCTTCTTCACAGCCCGCACGCCGCAACATAAGACCGCCGACCCCCAGATCCAAGATGGCGCCGGCCAAGAATGTGACATGGAAAGAGAAGACACAGTAAGCAGACAAGAAGACTGCCCTCTGACCCAAAATCTCCTGCAAGCAATGTTAGATTCAGCAGTCACCAAAATGCAAACTGCTGTCACCAATGCCTTAAATGACATAAGAAAAGGCTTAAATGAGATAGAAGCCAGGACCTCCCACCTGGAGGACACCGTGGAAAACCTCACTGGAGCCTGTAATGATGCTGACACCCGCCTCAACATACTAGAAGAACAAATGCACAGACAAGAGACCAAAATGGCGGATGCCGAAGACAGGTCACGCCGCAACAACATACGGCTGAGAGGGGTACCAGAGGATATTGCACCGTAAAATCTCACGGCCTACGCTGTGGAGCTTTTCCACGCATTACTGCCTGATATCCCCGCAGAAATGTTTCTACTAGACCGCATTCACAGACTCCCCAAGCCTCAACACCTACCGCTTTCCACTCCGAGAGATGTCCTTATGAGACTCCACTACTACCACATCAAAGAACAGATCCTGAGGGCACACCACACCAAAAAGGACTTACCTACCCAATTCAAAGATATACTCCTGTTCATGGACCTATCAGCGGAGACACTACGCCGCAGACGATCCTTCAAGGCAGTGGCAGACACGCTGAGGCAAAACCGAGTACCATACAGATGGGGCTACCCAGCCAAGCTGCTCATAACAAAGGGAGGGAAAATCATCCCGGCTGCTACACCGGCGGAGGGACTGAATCTCCTGAAGCAGTGGGGTTTATCCCACAACACACAGCCAAACCCCAGAAACCCCGGTAAACAGCTGCCCGAAGACAGCAGACCCCAGAAGACGAGACGTACTTCTCCGAGAGAGGATTGATCGCACCCGATAAGAAACAGCAAGTTTGAAATATGTTTGCATTGTTACCTAAATGCTATACCCTAGATTATAACGTTTTGTTAATGTCATGTTTAATACTAATTGACACCCTTAGGATATGCCCTCGAATAACTCCCCTTGTTGAAGGGAGCGGCACCGAACACGCCGCCACACAAGGCCTTGCCTAACGACACCGCCTTGCTTACATAGGGTGCACATCCCTCTCTTTTCCTTTACTAGTTTGACAGCCGTCCCTTGCGGACACAGCCTCCTCTAAAAAACCTCCTAAGCCCTGCTATACCCACAGCGGTGCTGTACGCTCCAACCTTTTAGGCAGGGGGGATGCCCCGGAATCACATAGGGCCCGTAGCGATCTACGCTCAAACCGAACCGCCCACACTACCCCCACCTAGGAAGTGCCATAGCGAAGGCACATACCCTTTAAGACACCTTGTACGATACTTTCTTTGTTTACTGTTTAACCGTTTATATTTTTATTTTATGTTATTTGATTATTCTGTGCTGGAAAAGTTGATTGACCTCCCAATTGCACCTAGCTCCTACCAGACCGTGAACACTCGTTGCTGAACCACACGGTCGCCTACGCCGGCCGAGCTGTTCATCCCCTCGACTCCCCAAGACTGAGACTGTTCCCCTTCTCGCCTCCACACCACTTAACTGCCCCACACGACTACCTCATAGTATCCACATACACGAGATACACCACCCACGAAAAATGAAGCTACTTACCCACAACGTAAGAGGTCTCAACTCACCCAACAAACGACACACTCTCCTTAAAGAACTAAACAACGTGCACGCAGACATCGTCTGCTTACAGGAGACCCACTTTAAACAAGACTCCAACCCTGTTCTGGGTCTCAAATCCTACCCACACCAGTTTCATTCCACCTCCCCAACCAAAAGCAAAGGTGTAACTATACTGATAAGCCACTCTATAGCCTTTGACCTAATCTCAATCGACTCTGATCCGAAAGGTCGTTACATCATCCTAATTTGCACCCTAAATAATTCAACGTTCACGATAGTGAACTCCTACTCACCAAATGAGAACCAAGGGACCTACTTAGCCCACCTGCTTGACAAAGTTGAGAAAACCCAAACGGGCACCACAGTCATCTGCGGTGACTTCAATCACATACTAGACCCTGATACAGACTCCACAGCCCGACACTCATCGTCACGCAAGAAATCATTACACAAAAGCTGCAACTCCATAAACAAACTCCTGTCTGCACATGGACTATACGACGTATGGAGGATTCTCCACCCCACTAACAAGGAATACACCCACTACTCCCAAGTACATAATACCTACTCCCGGATAGACGGGTTCCTGCTGCGTTCCGCGCACCTGCAACTAATACGAGCATGTGACATAGAAACATCTACGATCTCGGACCACAACCCGGTGTCACTGGTCCTGGCAGACTCGTACCAATTCAAACACCGCAGCCCCTGGAGAATGAACGAACATCTCCTTAACGAACCCTCTTTCCTAAATCAAGTAAGAGACGAAATAACTTCATACTTCACAACCAATAGCCCTGCAGACACGAGCACGGCCACCCGGTGGCTAGCCCACAAAGCTGTCGTTAGAGGCATCCTGATTAGTAGAGCAGCCCATCTTAAAAAAAGGAACTACTCCTCCATGCTTTCACTCCTTAAGAAGCTCCAAGACCTCCATAGATCGAACCAAGCAAGCCCCACAAAAGCACTCCAGCAGCAAATACAATCCACGCAAGTCGAAATTAACGCCATACACCTCCGCAAGGCAACGGCAGCACTGAAAACCCTAAAAGCCACATCCTACTCGATGGGCAACAAAGCTACAAAAACACTAGCGCACAGACTTAGGGACCAACAGACACAAACTAGAATACAATACATAAAAACGCACACTGGTCACAGAGTACTGCAACCCTCACACATATGCAACGAATTCGCCCACTACTATGGTTCTCTATACAACTTAAAAGACGACCAAAATGCGCCCAGACCCTCACCGACATCCATTAGGTCTTACCTCAACAACCTCGCACTCCCCACTATAAACGCACATCAAGCGACACAGCTTAGTGCCCCAATCACCTTAGAAGAAGTCCTTCTCCACATCGAGGCACTGCCCAGAGGTAAAGCGCCAGGCCCAGATGGGTACACAAACACATATTACAAGACATTCAAAAACGAACTGGCCCCTTCCCTTACCCATTTCTTCAATGAAGCAACCAACCAGAGCTCCTTCCCCACTGAGTTCCTATCTGCCCACGTAATTACGATACCCAAACCAGGCAAGACCCCAACAGTGTGCCAAAATTTCAGACCTATCTCTCTGCTTAACGCAGACACGAAACTCTACGCGAAAATCCATGCTGACCGACTTAAAACAATACTACCCTCCCTCATACACACAGACCAGGTAGGTTTCGTGACGGGCAGACATGGCCCAGATAATACCAGAAAGGTCCTGAACCTACACCATCTCCTAAAACATACCAACACCGAGAGCATTATGCTATCACTTGACGCCGAAAAGGCGTTCGATCGCCTCAACTGGCATTTTTTACACGAAGCCATGGCCCTCTACGGCTTTCCTCAGACCTTCCTGTCAGTTATACAGGCTTTATACAGCAACCCCACAGCGACAGTCCTGACCTCGGGGTTCTGCTCACAACCCTTCCCGATAACCAACGGCACCCGCCAAGGTTGCCCACTGTCTCCCCTCCTATACGTCCTGGCCCTAGAACCCCTGGCCATAGCCATCCGCAAGAACAACAACATACATGGAGTCCCACTTGGCCAACAGGAATATAAGCTCAATCTATTCGCAGATGACATATTACTCACACTTACCCAACCACTCATTTCCCTTCCCTCCCTACACAAAGAACTACACGCATACAGCCAACAATCCTACTACAAACTCAACATCACCAAGACACAAGCAATGTGCCTCAACATGCCCAGAACCACTGAAAATGTCCTTAAAGCGACACACGAGTATGATTGGAGAACAGACTTTCTAACGTTCTTAGGCATCAAGATTACCAACAAATACACCGATCTCTTTACAGCAAACTATGCAAAACTACAAAAGGAAATTGAACAACTACTTCGTAGATGGGCGAATCTATTCCTATCATGGGTCGGAAAGATAGCTGCTATCAAAATGACAGTACTCCCTAAGCTCTTATACCTCTTTCGGTCCTTGCCAATTAAGATCCCACAAAACTACCTGACAAAAATGCAAGCAATCCTTCTCCGTTTCTGCTGGAGTGGAAAACACCCCAGAGTACCTAAAGCCCTGCTCTTTAGACACGTTCGACAAGGGGGAATGGGTTTCCCCAACTTAAAACTATACCACCAAGCAGCCCTACTCACCAACGTCATTAACGCTCATACCACGACACAACCCCCGCAATGGGTAGCGATGGAAAGTCTACTCTGCACAAACCACGATCTCTCATCCACCTTATGGTCCCCCAAACATACAAGACCGAAGAGCCCGGACCTGCTGCCTACCACCAGGCTCTTAATATCCACATGGGACACCTGTAGGGAAAACCTATGCTCAGCGCATCCATGGGCACTAACAGCCCCAACCAAAACATTACACCACTGCAATGGCACGTTCCCTCATCACAAATGGGAAGAAAAAGGCATCACACACATGTATCACCTCTACACGCCCGAAGGCCTGCAACACTTCCCGGACCTCCAAGCCGAATTTACACTCCCATCCAACTTCACATTCTCATACCTCCAATTAAAGGCCTTACTGCAAAACAACACGATCCACAGCAGAAAACCGACCTTACAGACCACGGCGACGAAGTTCGAAATGCACTGCATGGCAACATCTCCCCCTAAAAAAGCGCTCTCCACCTGCTACAACGAACTAACAAACCTCAAAACCGAAAACACTTGGAAATTCATGAAAGATTGGCAGGAGGACCTCCAGGAAACAATTTCCCATCAAGAATGGAAGAAAATCTTCACAGCACATGAAGGACTGTCCTCCTGCGCAGCCCACTTTGAAACTGCACTATATCGATGGTATATGGTACCCGCACGACTACACTCCATGTACTCAGGTTCGTCGGACATATGCTGGCGATGCAACTCTCACAGAGGCACGATGCTACATGTATGGTGGTCCTGCCGCACGATAAACAACCTGTGGAAGAAGACTGAACAAATGATTCAAGATATTACGGAATATCCCCTGCCTCACGAGCCCAAAACGATCCTCCTGCGATCACTACCTGAAGCTATCCCCAAACCAGCAAAAAAAATGATATTCTTTATACTGAGCACAGTCTCCACCCTAATAGCCAGAAACTGGAAGACCTCAAATCTCCCCTCAACCCAGGAAATCACCGCCTTGATGTCAACAACAGTAGACTCCGAACTCCGAATGTGGCACCTACTGAAAATCGGAAAGCTGAGCCCAGCCATCGCCGAGATGTGGCAAACCTACCTTTCAACGAGGATCCCACCAACACAACCCCCTTAGCCTAATGCGAAGAGAGGCAAAAAGGAGATAGACCACACGATCCTCTCCCTGCTGGAAGCAGCAACCCTGCCCACTGCCCACCTGATACACCTCTAACACCCACGTCTATACACGACCTGAGACACATCCCCTCTCCCCCTGACGCTCCCGACGGATATCGACCACATTGGGGCTACACTACCTCTAGCACCAAGTTCTCAACCCTCACTCCCACCCTCCACCCCCCAATCTCACCCTCACTCTCACCCTCCAACCGTGACTAAAAGCCTTATGAAAGCACAAGCCATTACGCACCTGGCCCCGGCACGACACCTTACACTCAATATAAGAGAAAGGTAGCTTAGACGAGCACCTCCCAGGGACTAGGCCACTGAAGTAGAGTACATTCTGAACCCCACTGCAACCACTAAAGCCACTCCCCCACTTATTCAGAAAGGGGACCCTTTATCGAAAACAGTTAATGTACACTCATCGTGTCAATCCACAACGGAAACATATACCAGACATGACAGGTCTCCCCTAAAGGAACCCCACCAAGAGACGATGCACACATCGGCAACGAAATAGCCCTCTACCAGCAAATGAGAGTAAGCACTCAATTAATAACAAGAGACGATTCCCCGGAATCCGGCAGACACCCTACACGAAACAGAAGTGCTATAAGCCCCAATTAGACGAACCCCTTAGAGTTCCCCTCCATGACTTATCCTTATCCCCCTACACAAATGGGCCACAAATATGAAAAATAGAGTTAAAACCAATAACCACCTACTCAAAGGTCCCGCAGCCAGACGTCCCAAAAGGAAGGGCTGCCCAAGGCACGAATGTATATGTAATGTGAACTTAAAAATACAAGATGTAATGTTTCTATTTGCTATATGACTGTTGTGCTTGAACTACGAAAATACACGGTACTGAACTACCGATCTTTTTTTCCCCCCCCCATAACTACCCCTTCTCTTCTGTACCCCTACAAAACTGATGAAAATGAATAAAAATTGTCAAATTCAAAAAAAAAAAAAAGTTATACATTGATTTACATGTCAATGAGTGAATTAGTATTTGACCCCTTCAATTTAGTACTTAGTAGCAAAACCCTTGTTGGCAATCACAGAGGTCAGATGGCCACCAGGTTTGCACACATCTCAGGAGGGATTTTGTCCTACTCCTCTTTACAGATCCTCTCCAAGTCATTAAGGTTTCGAGGTGGACATTTGGCAACTCGAACCTTCAGCTCCCTCCACAGATTTTCTATGGGATTAAGATCTGGAGACTGGCTAGGTCACTCCAGGACCTTAATGTGCTTCTTCTTGAGCCACTCCTTTGTTGCCCTTTAAGAGAGTGCTCCTAATCTCAACTCGTTACCTGTAAAAAAGACACCTGGGAGCCTGAAATCTTGCTGATTGATAGGGGATTGACAGCATGCAAATCAATTTTATAACTTTTTTGACATGCGTTTTCCTGGATTTTTGTTGTTGTTGTTATTCTGTCTCTTATTGTTAAAATACACCTACCATTACAATAGACTGATCATTTATTTGTCAGAGGACAAACGTTCAAAATCAGCAGGGCATCAAATACTTTTTTCCCCTCACTGTATGAACTTCAATCAAGAAATATATTTTGTTATTTCCTTTGTCTTTGATGTTTAATTTCATTTTACAAAATCAATATGTCTGTTTCTCTCTAGTTTTGTGAAATATTGCATCTTTATAATGTTTCTCTGTCTCTTCATCAAATGCAATACTTGCCTACTTCATTTTCTCTCACACCACTCTTTTGATCTACCAATTCTATGAACTCACCCAAATAAAAATTACTTTCTTCCTGGCTACTAACCGGGATCAATTTCTCATTCCCGTCCGTCATCCAGGTACATCTTATTCTATTGAGACTGATCACTAGTTCTTAATCACTAACTCTTATCACCTTCTCTTTACAGTACAGAGTGTGATTTGTATCTGTATCTTTGTATCTGTCTGAAATCATCTCTATGTATGTGCTAACCACCTCAAAATTGTTAGACACACACACACACACAAAAAAAATACAAGTAATACACTGGCGCTATCATTAAATTAAACACTCTTTAGTCTAACAACAAAGTTATATTTAGACCAAGCTGCTGTAACACCTAGATGCAATCTTTCTTATTTACATCAATCTAGAAAAAAGGTAAAAAATATGAAATCGGTGTAGCGCTCTATACATACATATAATATGGTTGAGCCTAATAGGATAGTCAGGCTTCCAAATGAGGGTAGTTCCAGTGTCTTATAAAGTCCACCTAAAATAGGCAAAGAGAACTCTAATAGTGTAACACTGTAAATTAAACTGATAGTAAGAGTCAAATGTAATAACAAACTCACATTCTTCTGAGCTTAATGCCAAGCTCAGGAATAAGTGCATATAGGTCCGTACAGGCGACCTTCCCCTTCTTCTTATTAGGTGTTTGTCTCAGATCGTCTCTAGGACTCAAATAAAACAGATATATAGTGTAGAATGTCTGTATACAGTATTACTATTTAAAGTGTATAGTATACTCACAAAAATGGAGCCTCTATATCGGCTCTGTCTCTGCACGTTGAATAAAATGTAGAACTTTTCAAAGCAGGAACCAGGAAAAGCCCATATAGTATTTTAAAAAGTATAAATAATTTATTAAATTACAAGGGTATAAGGAACCCCCTATAGTAAATAAAAACGCCAAAATACCAAGCGCTGAAAAATTAAAAATAAACAAATAATAAACAAATGGGCATAACAATATCATACACTTCTTTCCAGAACGCGTTTCGCCGTAACTCCGACGGCTTCCTCAGCTGGATCCAATGTGTCTTTTCGAAGTGAAGTCATCCTGCTTATATAGGACAACAGAGAGACCGAGAGTTTGCTAAAACTGAGAGGGACAATACGAATTCCTATTATATCCCCGATAAATATGAGAATAAACAAAGAAATAGGGTAGTACCTAATAGATATAGGGAAAAAGCGGTTTACAGTGAGAATTATAGGTCAACACACTACACGAATGGCCAAGAAGAAAAAGACAGAAAAAATGAATATAGACCTCGAGCAATGCCCTATAGAGAAAAACCTAAATATGAATACTATCAGAATAAATGGGGGAACAAGGGAGCATATAGGAGAAATGAGGAAAAACATAAGGACACCCATGAATATAGAAGAAAAAGAGAGGAGTATAGACCCCCTAATCAGGATTATAATAATGAATGGAGGGAATATAGAGCAGTAAGAGACAGACAACCCTTATTGAGACAGGAATCCCCAAGAAATCGGAACCGGTATCAGGTCCTGGAAGGCCAAGAACCGGAACAGGATTTTTGGAGGAGCCGACAAATAGAGAGACACAAGAGAGAACAGGAGATGGACCAAACTACATATTCAAAAAGACGAAGAGATTCAGCACTAGAGGAAGGAGAGGAGGTAAAGCTACCAAAAAGAGACAGGAGAGAAAGGAAATAGAGATTATTAAGACATTACCTGTGAACCCAGAAACTATGAAAAGCTTGGGTATTTACAGTATAGGTAATATAGAGCTAACAAACGATGAGGTTAATACCTTAAGTAAAGGATTAAAATTTGCCCCAAGTAAACACCAGAACCATTTTGATTTCTATGTGGACTTGAACAAATTCAAAAGAAATTTATGCCTAAAAAAATTTTTTCTAAAAAATCCTATAGAGAGACAACAAGATTTGGACGATGGATTTAAACATACCGATTTGAGAAAGAAATCGAATTTTTTTCCGAAACAAATGATCTCAGAGAGCATTATTACATTTGAAACGATGGTCCTCAATGAGTTTAGAAAGATAAAGATAAAAGACAAATTCAATAACAATTTATCGATAAAAGAAAGAAAAGTTTTGAGAGAATTGAAAAATAACGATAACATCGTAATTAAACCAGCAGACAAGGGGGGAGGAATAGTAGTGATGTCCAAAGATTTTTATAGAGAAGAGGCATTACGTATTCTGATGGATGTCAATACTTATAAAAAATTACCGGTCAACCCCAGCAACACTATAGAACAAAAATTCAGGACCTTTTTGACAAAAGGCCTGGAATTAGAAATTTTAAATAAGAAAGAATTCGATTATATAAATATCCCATATCCTAAAACACCTGTCTTCTACTTCCTTCCGAAGATCCATAAGGATGTGGAAAACCCACCAGGGAGACCCATAGTAGCAGGGATTGATTCAATTTCTTGCAGACTATCCCATTATATCGATGTACAATTGCAACCTGTAGTTTTAAAAACTAGATCATATATAAAAGACACAACAGCAGTTTTAAATTTATTAAAAACAAATGCTTGGGAAAGAGACTGGCTATTGGTCACATGTGATGTGACAGCATTATATAGTAATATACCACACACATATGGATGCGAAGCCGTAGATTGGTTTTTAAGGAATTGTACGGACATGAGAGATACTCAAATAGAATATGTTTTGGAAGGCATTAAACTAATTTTAGAAAACAATTTTTTTTGGTTTGGGGATGATTTTTACCTCCAGATCAATGGGACTGCCATGGGGACCAAGTTCGCCCCCAGCTATGCTAATATATTTATGGCATATTGGGAACGTATGTTCGTGTATGATGGGCATGGCTGGGGTGAGAGCTTGGTTTCCTATGGACGTTATATTGATGACATCCTTCTTATCTGGAAGGGGAATGAGGAGTCGCTACAAGAATTCTTAACCTTCTTAAATTCTAATACTTGGGGAATTAAATTGACCAGCACATGGAGCAATTCAGAAATAGCATTTTTAGACCTCACTATTTTTATAGAGGATGGAGTTATTAAAACCAAAAATTATTTTAAATCAGTGGACGTTAATAGTTTTATTAATAAAGAAAGTTGCCATTTTACACCCTGGTTAGAGAATGCACCGAGGGGCCAATTTTTACGTATTAGGCGTAACTGCACAGATATAGGAAGTTATGAAAATCAATCGATTAGAATTAAGAAGGCTTTTTTAGATAAGGGATATCAGGAAAATAAACTAGAAGAAGCTAGGTTGAAAGTGAGAGGTACAGAAAGGGAAGGTCTCTTAACATATAGAGATAAGATGAAACAGGAGGTGAAAGATGTACCCTTTATCTGTAATTATAGTTTAGAAAATGGTAAAATTAGAAACATAATACATAAATTCTGGCCCATTTTACGCCAAGATCCTGACTTAGCCACGATTTTAACAGAAAAACCACGTTTTATACATAGAGGGGTGGGGAACCTCCGTAGAACTCTAACCTCTAGTTTTATTAAAGATCGGAAAACGAACGATACGTTCATGAACGAAGGGAAAGGATTTTATGGTTGTGGCTATTGTCTAGCCTGTAAGAGGACAGGTAATAAGAAAAGAACTTTAACTCATTTTAAAAGTAAGGAAGATTTTAGAATAAAAGAAATGATAACGTGCCACACAAAAAATGTTATTTATGTTCTGCAGTGTCCCTGCGGTCTGAATTATGTGGGGAAAACAACCAGAGCCCTACACATTCGGATAGAGGAGCACAGCAGAAACATCATGAGAGGTGCTGACAACCATAGTGTATCAGCACACTATAAACAATTCCATAATCAGTCCCCTTTAGGTACATTATTTTTAGGTATTAAAAAAGTTTCAAAAGATTGGAGAGGAGGTAACTTCAATCAGAAACTCAGCAGGGAAGAAATGCGCATTATCTTTGAATTTAATACTCTTATCCCCAATGGCCTTAACGCGGATTTCGAAATTTGCCATTTTTTGGAAGGATAGTCGAGCTCGTCCCAATCTCCAATATTTTCCACAGTTCACATATTCTTGCTTTGCAAGATAAGATGAATATGAATGGAATACTATTCATATCTTTTTTTCTATATTTATATTTCACTCTTCATGATATATTTTTTAGGAATAAGTCCATGTGCTATTTCATATACTTCACATTTTTTCTCCCTTGGAATGATAGTTAGGTATGTCTCACCACTCCCTATACGAGATTTTTTATTCTATAAGTTATTTTTAGCAGGAATTTTTAGAGCGTCAGAATATATAATTCTCTCGCCCTTTTTTCAGCCTTTATGGGTTATTTTGTTTTCTATGGCATATTATTTTGTTTATCTTCCCTTTTTTTCTTTTCTTTTTTTTTTAATAGATAGTCCCGGCATAAGCCGATAAAATTTAGGACTTCATTGTAGTAAAATAGAATCGACAATAAGGATATTAAGTTATACTGTATAACCCTTTTGAGCTATTCTATGTAACTAGTTTATAGTGATAGGGATTCATTATGAGAAACTAGCACGATACATTGTATGAATTCATTTGTGTCATTTCATGTAATACGTTTTTTGTCATTGTTATATCTTTGCATATGATAAAACTGTACATAGAAGGAATGCCAGTAAGATTATAATATTACCACTGAAAGGTAGTAAAGAGGGGAACCCATTGTAGATTCTAGGTTTATATAGCCTTTCTGGGTATGTGACTCAATCACTAATTTAACGATATTTTTACTTGGTACACTGTATATTTATTAAATTTAATGATTGCTCTTTTTCGGTACAGCAATATATGCTCATTACCACCTTCACTTTTTCCTCGTTTTTATTAATTGTTGGACTTGCTGAATGAGATCTACATGTAAATGCCCGATCACATGACCGAGAGAAAGGACGTCATATGCGGAAGCGATTTGGACAAGAATAGAGGCGTGGAACGCAATCATTGAGCGGACACCCACAAAATAATCGCGCGCTTTTTTAAACAGCAGAAGAGGAGGACTATATAAGCAGGATGACTTCACTTCGAAAAGACACATTGGATCCAGCTGAGGAAGCCGTCGGAGTTACGGCGAAACGCGTTCTGGAAAGAAGTGTATGATATTGTTATGCCCATTTGTTTATTATTTGTTTATTTTTAATTTTTCAGCGCTTGGTATTTTGGCGTTTTTATTTACTATAGGGGGTTCCTTATACCCTTGTAATTTAATAAATTATTTATACTTTTTAAAATACTATATGGGCTTTTCCTGGTTCCTGCTTTGAAAAGTTCTACATTTTATTCAACGTGCAGAGACAGAGCCGATATAGAGGCTCCATTTTTGTGAGTATACTATACACTTTAAATAGTAATACTGTATACAGACATTCTACACTATATATCTGTTTTATTTGAGTCCTAGAGACGATCTGAGACAAACACCTAATAAGAAGAAGGGGAAGGTCGCCTGTACGGACCTATATGCACTTATTCCTGAGCTTGGCATTAAGCTCAGAAGAATGTGAGTTTGTTATTACATTTGACTCTTACTATCAGTTTAATTTACAGTGTTACACTATTAGAGTTCTCTTTGCCTATTTTAGGTGGACTTTATAAGACACTGGAACTACCCTCATTTGGAAGCCTGACTATCCTATTAGGCTCAACCATATTATATGTATGTATAGAGCGCTACACCGATTTCATATTTTTTACACACACACACACACACACACAAAGCATGTTATAATGTTGAGCATTCAGCACATTTTGCAATGTGTTGGAAGTCAACAGGGGCAGTCAGTGAATATGAACTTGTTAACGTTACATTTTTTAGATGACAGATGCACCTAAAACCCTCTGCTTGAAAATGCACCAGTTATCATTAATAGAATTATGTTCCCCAAGTAAAAATGTATTTTCTTTTTACAATCTCACCTGCAAATGTTCTTTGTCAATTTTAACTGGCTTTCCTTCTTCTACTAGAAGACTGTTCAGGTGCAAAACTTTTGGCAATCTTTGATGGCTTTCTAAATACACACGAACTTTAACCTCAACATTCAGAACTATAGACTTGACTTTTACTGTCAAGTTAAAGGTGTCCATTAGATTATTGCGGTCATCATGTTTATAAACTACTTGACCCAACTTTAGGTCTTGGTGATTAAAATAATTGGATGAAAGATTCTGTACACGAATCTGTCCATATTTTGGTGGCAAAATTACATGATATACAATCTCTTCATCTCCTGAAATGTAAAGGTTTGTCACACAGCTGAAGTTAGATGTTGTCAATATAATCTCCTTCCCCTTCTGCACCAGTAGACCAGTATTGTTTACTACTTTAATGAATGGATCTGATGCACTAACTTCTAGTAGCGATGAGGTGTAATGTTTTCCATCAGTAATAAACAAGACAAAACGCCCATAATCACTTCCGTGGTGTATGTAAAGGACTTGTTTTTTGTCCAAGTTCTCTTGGGTAAACTGGTAAAGTTTTTTAGAAGAATCATCAGCGGATACCAAGTCTCCATTGGGAATACCACGTCTTGTATATATTAACTCTTTGTCATCAAAATCCGTATCAGGGTCATGGTAGCACAAATCGTCCAGTGTGACTAGCCTCTGTCCATTCCGAACAACGTGAAAGAGTTTATCAACCACACGGACAGGTTTTTCATCATTTTTCAGTTCTATGGATATATTAAAGACAATTTCTGCCTGCAAAGAAACTGCATTTTCACCAACAATTCTCTCAGACACTATAGAAGATGCTATGAGTGTTAATGTATCAAACGTTGTTTCAGAGTCATCGTGGACATACATTAAACGTTCACCTACAATATCTTGGCTTGAAAATTCTGTGATGTTACTGTTGCTCAGTTGGGAGTCTGAAAAATTTATTAATTTGAGACTGCCATGTTGGGGGCTTTTCAAAATCTTGTAGTTGAAGGTTTTATTATTCAAAGTTTGCACAAAAAGCAGCTGTCTGGTTATGAGTTTTGCATCCCCTTCTGGTAACGTCAAACCTGTGTTAGTGACAATAATTGCGTTCATGTCAGCTTTCAGGAGAATGATAAAATTATGAGGTTTTGACTCTGCATGTTTCGTGAATATTGCAAAACTAAACAAATCCTGGGAGTCTTGATTCGGTCGATCAAACAGTTCATATTCCAATTTTCCATTTGTGATATCTACCTGGGAGAATTTTGCATTTTTCTTTAAAATCTTATTATTAACCAACAGATTTCCTTTTTTTGGCAGGGACAATACTTTAAAACAAATGTCTTTTTCTGGTACTGTTATTCCATCTAGAATAACATATAGGTTTTCTGTACTAAGAGATGCCTTTTTGGTACTCTCAATTTTTAAAGGGGTATTTCTGACTAATGTAAAATTAATCCATGAAACACGAATAGGAAATATAAATTCTTCACTTGATTTATTTCCAATGTTGACTTTACATTTAAAGTATTCGACCACATTGGTTTCTTGTACTTCTTTATAGGTGCTAAGATATCTTACTCGCTCACGTTCAAGAGAACGTTGGGTAAATGAGACAGTGACCTTCCACTCATTTCCAGAACTTTTTCTTTGGATTTCACCAAACTTTGGCATTTCAGTTATTTCATATCTAATTTCAATCTCTTGATTCCCAGCATTTGTTTCCACTGCTAATTTGCTGGTCTGTATTAAAGAACTTTCACCTTGCATTACTTCAATGCCAGTGTTGTTCACAACATTAAATTCAAGAGGAACAGCTAAAATTCTGAGTACTATTGTATTACTCACCTTGTCTCCATCAACTACTCTCAGCACTAATCTAGAGTTCTTCACCCCATGATGAACATAAAATACATTCCCTTCAAGCAAATCAAAATAAGAAAATGTGGTAACTGCATTTCCAGGATTTTTCAAGTTTTCTAAAAATCCAGCATCTAGGTTGAGGTTACCAAGAACCACTAACTTTAAGTTCTGTGGCTCTGTATCTACATCTATAATTTTAAGAAGACTAGCGGTGAGGGGCTTCTTTGAGTTTTCCAGTAAGACAAAAAGATTGCCTTCTGGAAGGATGAGTTCAGGAGCATCGTTTACTGGGGTGACAGTAATATTGAAAACATATATGTCTGAACCTTGCAAGTATGAGGGCATTTCATTCTTGCTTGTAGTGGAAACAGAAAAACTAAAATGATCCACTGTTCCCTCAGAACTATCATGAATATAGGTAATTCTTCCATGCCATAAATCTAACATTGTGAACATATCCTTCTCTTGTTGGGATGGGACGTCTATTTTGAACTGTCCATGCAGTGGATGTTCCACTATACGAAATACAATTTGAGACTGACGGAGCCCCAGCTTTTTAAAATCCAGTTGGAGTTTGATATGTTTAGACAGTAGAGCAGCTCTTCCTCCCTCCTGTATGATTAAATTATTCAAAATGAGGTATCGGTCTTTAATATTATGTTTGGCCACAAAAGTGGTGGTAACTAAACTGGTAATTGGAGCAACAGTTGTAATAGATACTGTTTTGGTTTCCAAGACTTGCATTATTTCAGTTTTGCAGCCAGGAGAGATATCTTTACTAGACAGCACATGTTTCAGTCCATACTTCACAGAATTTATTCTTAGGTTTTTCATGCAGCCTTTATATGAACCACCTTTTGCATGCTTGCCAGAAACTGCAGGTAGACCTAAGCTAATTATATGAGGACGTGAAGCATCATCTACACCACCAACATACAATGATCCATTCAACTGATTAGCCTTTAATGGAGAAGCAAGCAACACCTTTGCAGATTCTTGGTCTACTGTCAGATGCAGATGGTTCGCTGTGATCTTAAGTTTAAGTGAATGCCACTTGTTCTCTGTAATGGTTTTGATAGAGGAAAGGTGGACTACATTTTTCCCTTTTCCTATACGAGCTTTTACTATCCAGTCTTGAACTTCCAATGAAACAAAATATCCATTTTTTCCTGTATGATAAAGCAGTAACCCTCTTCCAATGGAGGTCTGCAGTAAGCATTCCCAGATTCCTCCTTCCCCAACATTCCAAGACGGAAAAGCTATGTATGACTTGGAGCTGAAAAAGTTGATAGGGTCATCTTCAGTGATGAAGAACTCATCGCTGCAACCGAGGGATACTTCATAGACACTTTTCAAACCAGGGTATGGTCTCAGAGAGGAAAGTAATTTATGCTCATTGAATACAACATCATCCAAGCATCCTCTGAAGTAACCATGAACTTGATTTTTGTATGGGGCATTGAGGTCACCAATTCCACCAACATAAAGTCCATGTTGCACATTGATTTTATAAGATCCTCCAGAAATTTTTATACTTGATTTGTAATTTGTGTCAACATTAAGAACAACATCAGCATTTTTATGATTTAATGTAACGAAGTGCCATTCCAAGTCATCGATTCGAGGTGTCTGGTCAAGGAGGATGATGTGTTCATTTTTCCCAAGCTTAATTTTTACCTGAAAGGTGAAAAACATAATAATGGTTTATGAATATGTATAAATTGCTGTTTAAAATTGTTTTTTACAGGCAACAGTACACAGACACAGAATGAGAAACAAAAAATGATGTCAAATTGTCAGGCTCCCATTCAGCCCCACACCTACCTCTAGCTCCCACGCTGTATCCATCTTCTCTCCCTGCAGGGTATGGACTATTAGTGAATCCTGGTTCAGTCGAGATTCTCCCAGAGGTCTGTTCTTCCAACAAAAGAACAAATTTGCACTACATTTGGCTGAGTGTCGTAACTTGCGATCCAACCCGATTGACGTTCATTTCGGAAGATTGTGATCCACTCTTCATACCACAATATTCCCTAGGCATGTCCCTAGCCATGTGCATGTTAAAGGGGGAGTTCTTGTCTCAGGACGTGTTTTGTTAATGTGAGCAAGACATGGGGGAGGCGTACTTTCTTCTCCCTATAAGTAGACTGCTCTCCAAATGCTCCTTGCTCAGTGTTACTGTGCTCCTTGTTCAGTTAAATTGTCCTTTTTTGCTCCCATTGATTATGCGTGTCTTACTGGTATTTATCCAGTTATGCATTTCTGAACTAGTGCTGCCTGACCTCTCGCTATCCTGACGATGCAGTTGTTTTTTCTCTGCCAGTACCTTGCCTTGATTTCAGTTTTAGCCTGCTAACGCACATTGGGCTCTGTCTACTAATCCTTGATACAAGTAAGAAAACAATTAGTTTTGGTCCGAATTTAAATGCGGACGAATTTTGGCAATTCGGACATTCGGATGCTTTTTGCTTCGAATTGCTGAATTTTGGAAGTGCCGAACTGAACCGAATTGCGAAGTGCCGAATTTCGGAAGTGCTGAAGTGCTTCGGATTTCTGAAAAATTGCAAAATGGGAGAGGGAGGGAAAATTAAGGGAATGATGACAGAAATCTAACCCTACCTGCAACCCTAACCCTACTAGTGTTAGGGTTAGATTTCTATCATCATTCCCTTAAATTTCCCTCCCTCTAGGGTTGGGGCTAGGGGTAGGGTTAGGGAATTTCCAAAGTCCCGAATTCCCGAAGTGCTGAAGTCCTGAATTCCAAAAGTGCCGAACCGAACCAAATGTTTTTCCCATGCACATCCCTAATATAAACCAAGATCTCTGCAATTGTGATTATGTAGCTTTTAACAATGTAACACTATGTGGATACACGTTTACACTACTTGATAGAAATCTACTACTGTCATACATTAATTTCTTATTTCTCATTTCAATCACTAGGTGGTAGTACAAGCCACTTTAATAACAATTGATCTTGATCTTTTTATCACGATGATTGTGTTTGAATGCTCTATCCTATGCATGGCTATTATAGATGAGGGAGCCAACTTACTCGGAACCAATCTTCATGGGCGGTTCTGTTAGTACAATGAAGTAAAAAAACAACAATAGTTGTAAAACTAGCAAAATTGGAAATAAAAAAAAAACATGTTATAGGTGAGATGTATTGAATTAACAAGTAAACCAAACAACCCTTTTTTAAAATACCTTTTAGATTTTTGCATTGTAAAGAATGTCATTTTAAAATATTTGAACTGTATTTCCATAGACAAAAAAGGAAAAAACTTATAGCTGGTTACTAGAGACTTCTTGAGATTGCCACGCTATTTAAAAAAAAAAATTGTTTGTTTATTCCCTGTGGTACTATTGGGGTCTTGATGAGTCAGTAATTTTTAAGTTAAATTAGATTTTGTCAATTACATTTAGCTGCCAGTAGCATTGGCAACCAGTGTCTGCTAGTTCTTTTCTTGTAATGTTGATCTACTAGCATACAATCCATTGGAGAGAATAGTGACTATTGCACAATGGTTTCCACTAGGTGTTTGTGTGTCTACTGCTTCCACACCCACCTACAAAAGGTTAGATTAAAATGAAGAAAAGTAGAATTATATTTTAAAAAGAAAGATAAAGCAGGTGTTTTATTGGCAAATGCCGTACACCGTCTAAAGGAGTAATTGTAATCGTTACGTCTAAAGGGTGAATGTGACCTTCATCCCGCAATAGCAAAAGTCCTAAAAATACAGGTTTCGCCAAAATGAAAAGTTTATGCCCAAAATGTGAGAGAAATCTAATCATGAATCCTTTGACATGTGAGAGGTAGGTGTTAGTGGGGGGGGAGGGGGGGAAAGCACTTGTTCAGAATGGATAAATCAAAATCAAAGTTTAAATAACATGGATTTTATTTAATCTTTAAAGTAAAGCAATAACTTTCACATAATACCTGAACATGTCCGGTGTATAGCTGTAGTAAGTAGTAGTCATTCTTCCCAGCTGCGAGGAAGAGTAGTCCATTTGGCTTGCTTGTACGGAATCGAAGTTGAAGAGATGATGTGGAGAACGATTCTTCTGTTTTTAACTCAATATAACTTTCTCCATAAAATGAAGCTGTCAAATATTAAAACAAGAGTATATTAACATAACTAATAACTTCAGTGGCATAACTAGGAACCAGAAGACCACAGTGCAAGAATCAAAGAAGGGCCCACTACATCGCTCTTCCTTGCTCCCCCCTAAGTAATATACCTGAATGGGATATGTGCAGTGGCTGAGTGTTATTGTGTGCATGTGTCTGGTTGGCTGAGTGTGATTATATATGGGGTTTGTGAGTGTGGAGTGATTGACTCTGCTTGGGTACCCTAACCCAAGGAGAGTAATCCTCCATGTTGATGCTAACACATGCCTCCCAACTGTCTTGATTTTGGAAGGACAGTCCCGCCATCCTGACTTAGTCCTCTGGTGTCCTCCAAAAATCATAGCATTGGCGCATCACAGAAGTGCTTGTGCTATGTTTATGGCATGAGGACCAAGCAGGAAGCATAGTAACAGTGCTCCCTGCAGAGTCTGCCCTCAATGGACTGGCTAAAATGATTGGCAGGCTGACCTGCTAGTAATGTGGGTGGGCATGCTCCCTTTTTTGGTGGGTATGCGTCACTGACCTGTCCACTTTACTCTCTGTACTGATTCTGGGAAGGCCAATGTTGGGAGGTATGCTAACATGCTTGCTTTACTGCAAGCACATTGACATTAGTTCATTCCATACTTCCCCAGTGAGTGTGAGAAACACTTACTGGGTGTGTAACACAGCAACAGGGAGTCATAGAACATACATTTGCTAGCATTTGTGCTGGCACAAGTGTGTGCAAGGGATTCTTGCTGCCAGGGCATGAACAGAAGAGCTCCCTCGCCGCCCTTCCCCTCCTTCATACTGTATATTTTGCCAGAGTAGGCATAGGGTCAGCAAGCATTTCTAATTATGATGGAGATGTCATGCATTAGTTACATACATTGTTTAAAAAAAAATTAATCATCATTAATATGGACAGGTAAGTTTGTAAATTCTAAGCACATTTGAGAAGGGCCTGTTCTGGTTTTCAGAACCAGATTTTGCCCTTTCCCAATAGTTGATCATTTGTTCCCGCTACGTTGCAGGTGATCACCCCAAAATCAACTATAATCTCCAAAAACACAAAACCAAACACAGAGAGAATATGAGAATTCGGAGAATGGGCAAAATCTCTGAAACCTCAATAGCCTTCTCTTTCCCTGTCCAGTTCTCAAAAACGTTTTTGCTCACTTGTGTTATTACACAAGCGGAAACCTATTGTTATTGAATAGCTGACTGATATTGCTGATAAGGGCATGTAGATCTGAAATTCTAGTTCCCTCTGCTTGAGAGATAGAGCATTCCAGATAATCGATTTGGTCTCCATTGGGCCTCATAAGTTAAGTGTAACTCACCCCTATAGGCACAGTATGCATAGGGTCCATGTCTGGATTACCATTTTAACTTAGGAAGAGCCTAAGCAAATGCATTGAAACAGAATATGAGAACAGGGAAAAGTTCACTAGGTCTAGTCTCACTATATCTAGCAATTACATCATAAAAACAAAAAACAAGTTTAGCCTAGAAAATACACCACCATTTAGAGAACAACAATATGTGTTGTAATGTCTATGGTTTTATATGAAGCAATTGTGGTCTGAATAGAAGCAATTTCAGTGTAACTTTCTGGAAAGCCAAAGAAATGCCTGTTGTGCTTTAGTAAATGAAGTCCATAATCTATGTTTAAGTGAACGTACAATTTCGAATTGACATGAACTCAAAGTGAAATTTAAAAAGTGAATATCACAGTTTAGGGTTGAATAGCCAAACCAGAAAAATTCTCCAAGTCAATTATTTTTCTCATTGTAAGTTTTTTTTATGTTTAAAAAAAAATACTGTTATCATTAGGAGGTTTGTTCAATAAAATTTGAATTGTACTCTTAATAGTTGATAACATGAGAATTATGCTGACTGTTATTTACATCAATTATTTAGGTAAATGAAAAAAATATCATTTGCTTAATAATTTGGAACAGGGTGTATAGTAGCTCTGTATTGTTGGTGTGTACTGTAGAACTAATACAGTAATGGGTCTTTAAACTACAATAAATATGTTTAGAAATCAGTCTGTGTAAATAAGATACATTGTTCTTGTTCTAAACTGCATTTTTGTTGCACAAATTGTTATTATTAAGTCATTAGTAAGTCACTTAAACAGTTTCAGAACAGCCCTGCCCCTGGCTACACCCCCAGCCACAAGTGTCATTCTTTGTTCATTTGTGGTGTGCTGGAACCAATGTTCGCGTAGGTCTGTAAAAGAGGACCCACCAAGATGAATGGCTTAATAAAGGGAGTGGTAGGTGGGCAGTCTCAGCCCAGAGGAAGGGAACGTCTGTGTATTTATAGGCCGGATAACTCCTCCCACAATTACAGACTTTGTGTAATGGCTCAGCCTTCTCATTTGTGGTCGTATACTATAAGTCGAGTTAGAGTAATGGTGATGTAAGTCGGTTGTGGTGTGCTGGAATCAACGTTTGGGCAAGCCTGTAAAAGAGGGCAAAAAGTTTAACACTGAATATGTGTTGACATTATATAACCAATACTTAAATCCATGCCTTAATTCCCTCTCAGGTTGAGGGATATGTATGGCATATGCAGATGACTCTACTGTCCCACCCAGGGCCGGACTGGGAAAAAAATTAGGCCCGGGCATTTTTCAATCAGAGCGGCCCCCTACGAAGGGGGCGGGGCCAGAGAGGGTGTGTTTTGTCATCACTAATGACAAGCAGGCCCGCTGTCAAAGTGAGCATGTTGGTTCAATGCGCAGAGCCCTGCTGAAGAACTCTGGCATTAGAAAAAGGCCCTGTATTTGTTCTGCGCAGCGCAAGCAAATTTATTAACATGCTTGCGCTGTGTTTGCTTTTAAATTGTCTCTGGTGTCTCCACAAGTGGGATACCAGAAGACAAAAGGGCCAGGAAAGTGTATGGTGCATGTGTTTGAAACCTGCTTGTGGGATTGCGTGTGTGTAGAGTGTGGTGTGGTATTTTGTAAATAGGTCAATTTCATTTGTGTTTGTGGTGTAATATGTGTGGCTAGGGGCTGTAGAGAGTGTGTGTATAGGGGGCACAGTGTTATAGGGTATGTAGCGAGTGTGTGTATACGGGCTGTAGTGTGTGTAGGGGTTGTAGAGAGGGTGTGTTTAGAGAATGTTGTATGTGTTTGCTGACAAGGAATGTAGTGTGTGTGTAGGTGGTGCAGTGTGTGTGTGTGTAGGAGATCTAGTGTGTAAAGGACCCTGAGTGTGTATAGGAGATTGTGTGTGTGTGTGTATAGAGGATTAAGAGTGCATATAGGGTAAGGGATCTAGCATGTATCTGGAGCGTAATGTGTGTAGTGATGCAGTGTGAGGGGTGCTGTAGTGTGTGTGTGTGTGTGTGTATATATATATATATATATTTGGACGTATTGTATGTGTGAGGGGCGCAGTGTGTGTGTATGCAAGAGGGGTGCTGTGTATGAGGTGTTTTTATCTGCCATCACATTCTAGGTTTCTAATTTTCTTTGTTAACTCACTGAGGGTTATTTTATATAATATATATATATGTGTGGGAGTGTGCTGTGTGTGTGAGCGAGGGTGCTGTGTGTCTGAGGGTGCGCTGTGTGTGTCTGAGGGTGCTGTGTGTGTGTCTGCGGGTGCTGTGTGTGTGTCTGGGGTTGCTGTGTGTGTGTCTGGGGGTGCTGTGTGTGTGTCTGGGGGTGCTGTGTGTGTGTCTGAGGGTGCTGTGTGTGTGTCTGGGGTTGCTGTGTGTGTGTCTGGGGTTGCTGTGTGTGTGTCTGAGGGTGCTGTGTGTGTGTGTCTGAGGGTGGTGTGTGTGTCTGGGGTTGCTGTGTGTGTGTGTGTGGTGCTGTGTGTGTTGCTGTGTGTGTGTCTGAGTGCTGGGGTGCTGTGTGTGTGGGGGTGCTGTGTGTGTCTTAGGGGTGCTGTGTGTGTCTGGGTGCGTGTGTGTGTGTCTGGGGCTGTGTGTGTGTCTGGGGTTGCTGCGTGTCTGAGGGTGCTGTGTGTGTGTGTGGGGTTGCTGTGTGTATGTCTGGGGTTGCTGTGTGTGTCTGTGGGTGCTGTGTGTGTCTGGGGGGGTGTCTGGGGGGTGTCTGGGGGGGAGTCTGGGGGGGAGTCTGGGGATGCTGTGTGTGGGTGTGAATTTATTTTTTATTTAAATTAAAATATATTTTTTAATAATTTAAAAAAAAAAAGTTACATCCCCCCCTCCCTTCTTACCTTTAGCCTGGGAGGGGGGGGAGCCGTTCTGCCATGATGGGGGACCATGCTGCCATCCCTAGTGGTGAGAGTGAACTCTAACCTGCAGGCTAGAGTTCACTCTCGCGAGATCTGAGCGATGACGCTCAGAATCCCGCGAGAGGACCCGGCGGAGCTGCTGGTTAGAGCTCCGCCGGTCCTCTCTCCTGCCTCCCTTTCTCCCTCCCCAGCCGGCGGCAGCATCTCCATGCCTCTGGGCTGGTGAGGGAGATCTTTGATCTCCCCACCGGCCCATGGAGGCACACAGCAGGGCTGGTGCTCGGGTAGCGCTGGCCCTGCAGGGGCTGGCAGGGGAGATTCCGTGATCTCCCCTGCCGGCCTACGCCCGCGGCCATCGCGGCCCACCGGGCATTTGCCCGGTATGCCCGATGGCCAGTCCGGGCCTGGTCCCACCCATTAGATTATACATTCTGGGATATTACTAGAGGTAGTAGGAGCAGCGTGTATTCTTTTAGCATGACCTAAAAATGTTAACGGTTGTATTCGAGTCACTTTAAGGTGTTGTGAGCTAGTTAAAGGTTGAGATGGCAAAAAATATGTGAATGCCTTCATGGAATCGAATGGTTTGATGATTTCATATGCGATAGTAAGTCTATTGAAAATGGCCAGAGCCCTTTTTTGTAATATTGAATGCATGAATTGTAATTTAAAAGGAATGTTTGTAAAGATATAAGAAAATATTATGAAAAATAAAATTATAAAAAAAAAAAAAAAAAAATGGCCAGAGCCCAACGCATGAACAGGTGGCATTGGCAGACAGTGTTGCGTGTGCCATCAATTAAATCCTGGACTGTAGGGGTTTAGTATCTCGTTTGGCCACTGTAGGGAGAGTTCAGAAGAATAAGAAAAATTGTGATCGAGTCACAAAGTAGTGTTTCTGTGATGCTGCCAGCCAGATATCTTCCTAATCAACCTTATTATTGTTAATGAGGGGGACTGACCGGTAATAATTCCCATGCTGCTGATTTACTAATCAGTGTAGGTTTCACTATGGGAAATGTGTCAAAGACCCAGTTAACTATGAAATTGGCTGCAATACAGTGTAGGTGGCTGTATTAGTCCAGAAATGAGGGACAATGGTGGAGTGAACATGGTTTCCCTGTTCTGGTGAGATAGAAAGTTTAGCAACATGGACAGGACTGCTCAAGCATGTGTTGAATGTAACAGTGCTATTGTTGACATGTGAACCTGGGAGCAGGTTGAGTGGATGGTAAATTAATGTACTCCCTTATGTAAGGTGCATGCTAAAGTTCAGCAGACCAAGGAGAGACCTGAGATCTATATGGGAAACAGGCATCGTTGCCCAGAAAGGATTTTCCCTTTCCTTGATATGTTGGACTTAGGCGGCAGGGTTGCTGAACTGCAATGATCTCAAGTCTAATGTATTTCCTGAAATTAAAATTAGTGTAGGGGCCAAAGGTTGATCAAAGGTTGATCAAGTTCCAAAGGATGTACCAGATACAAAAAACACATCTGCTTCAGGGTATGCCATTCGGTTCCATAATCGATACCCTCATGTAGATTACTGAGTACTGATGTATAAGAGGAGCCTACAGATAGATTATGCAACTATATTGAGTAGTTTGGGCATCTCTTCGCTCCAAACATAAAACGGGTGGCAAAGTAGAATACTCAGTTCTCTAAATATCGTGCAAATGCCACTGGGACTGATGCACTGGGAGCAACTTGAAGATGAGGAATATGGCATTTTCCTAGTAAGGCTGCTTCTGTGGCCCTTAAGATAGGCCAAACACCATGACCTAATGCTGAGAACTTAAAAGAACAAGGAGCCGATAAAATTGCGCAGGAATTATTGTGATTCCCATTGATTAGGCTAATATGGTAAGTTCACCCGCAAATAAAAGGGTTCTTAAAAGGCCCCAGCAAGAAACCAATACTTGATTCAGCTACTTATAGTACTTAAGTTGTATGAGTCTTAACTAATAGATTGGAGCTTAGAACAAATCCTAATACCTGATAGAAGTGAAATGACACCTGTAATTAACTCAATTAGAGGAGGGGAAGTGTGATTATTGAGGGAGATGGCTCTTAGTGACAAAAGGTGAGAATGAATACGGAACAGTCAAAATGTGTTCACCTGTGTTCCCTAGCTTTGAACTACTAACAATTCTCGTAGCTATGTCCTTCCTAAGGACAGGGGAACTTACTGTACAGATAATAACATTAGGGTACTACATGGGATGATAAAATGTCCAAAGTCAGGGAATTCTAAACGTCACTGGTGTCAACAATTATTCATAAAGATGAAACGATGGGAGCCATCATGGCCTACATCCCTGTCATAAAAGAAGGGGAGCGGTCAAGGTTTAGTGTAACACCCTCATCCCATACCTAACCCACGAAAAAAGGTCACCTAGACTGCAAAAGTAGGGGATAACCCTAGGGAATACAGTAAATAGTAGAGACCCAAAGGTGTCACTTGAATAGAAAGTGACCACAAGGTTAAATTTCCAATCCACTCCAATAAGATCTTAAAGGAGAAAATAATAAATAACAAAATAACTTTATTAGTAACTCTAAAAAGTACTAGGACAAATTAAACAGTGTAGCCTGATATGAGGGGGAACAGCCCTGAGTGAGATGCTCAATAATAGATAGTCAATAATAAAGCATACCACACTAGTTCCAAAGGGGTATGGATTGGCAGTATGAGAACTAACTGAAGAGATAGCAATCTCCCCCTTTATGTGTTTAAGCCCTCATGGAAGTATATACAGCACTGGTTACGACCGAGCCTAGTGTAATCTTCAGAAGCAAAAACTAAAACATAAAAGGAATAGTGAGAGATATGCTAAATGGTGAGAACAAAGCACACAGGTAAAAATATATAAAAAGAAGGGTATATACAGAGAGATAAGTAATAGGGATATAACCAATTAAATCCACCTCTCTAGGGTTACCTGAGCTCTGTGGTAAGGGTATCCCTAGTCTCTAGACCTTCAGTCTCATGTAAACACCTTCATAGATATTCTATGCTTATGGGGAAGAAAAAGAAATGCACTTAAATTCTTAAATAGCTGTCTTAATACCAAGTGATATGCTCAATAGCTAATGATTGGTAATTAAGCATGCCACATTAACTCCACAGGATACAAATGAAACGATATGAGAACTAACAGAAAAAGTAGCAATCTCCACCTTTATGTTTATAAGCCCTCATGGAAATCTATATAACACTGGCTACAACAGAGCGTAGTGTAATCATCCAGAGGCAAAAGTCAAAACACAAAGGAATAGTGAGAGATATGCTAAACAGTGGGAAATAAGCACAGGAAAAAATATATAACATGAGGGGTATATATACAAGGAGATAGGTGATAGGGATATATACAAATGACTCCACCTCTCTATAAATACTAGAGGTATCTGGTAAAGGTGTCCCTAGTCTCTAGACCCTAAATCTTACGTAAACACCTTCATGGGTGTTCTATGCTTATACTCCATCTAGGGTAATTCCCTCAAGTTCTCAATCACTGTCTAAGTACTAAAAGACAAAAAAATAAAAATCTTCAAATAAATAAAGTGAAAAGAGTGCGTGCATAGTGATAAGGTGCTCCATAACAGAGAGACCAGTGAAAAAAAACCAACGCGCGTTTTGGAGTGATAATACACCGTCCTCAGGGGCAAACGTGAATGTGACTACAAACTAGAATAGTTTAAATATGCTATGCCTTAATCAACCATCCGGAAATTTAACCTTGTGGTCACTTTCTATTCGAGTGACACCTTTGGTTCTCTACTATTTACTACATCCCCGTCATGCTCTCTGTGTTTTCCAGCTTAGGTGCTGACACAAGGTAGGGTAGCCCAGAGCTATAAACCAGAGTCTATACAGCACAGTTTTCTGAGCCAAAAAAGGGAATGGCACTCCTTTATGTCTGAGCTCAGTGGTAAAAGTGGAACGGTACAAGATCGCAAGGAAGTGGGGCTGAGGTAACCTGGGTTATGGCTGAAGTGCATGGACTAGGTCAGGTGGAGGGTTTGGCTGGGGAGCCTGGATTGATATGTAGAGTAAATGTGATAGTCATGTAGGTGATAGTATACCAACTGGCAGCTTGCATAGTGTCGAATGGCGAAAAATAAGTTAAATGAGGGAAAGGTGAAGCCCTACTAAGTGCCAAGTGACTCTGAGAGGCTCTATGTGCCACCGAACTATGTGGCAGAAATGTTGGCCTCTAAGTGACAAGTAAGAGATTCAGAGAAGTGGCCGTGACATGTGAGGCCCTATCTAAAACCTAGAGAGGTAGGAGCAAGGCTCTTGCTATGAGTTGGGCCGTTGGATGAATACCTCAGCATGAGGATGGGTGTAGGCCTTGCATGACTGAATTATAAATATACAATGACATGGCCCACACCAATACTCTTAACAGCCAGTTGATCTATCCCTAATGAATGTAGGGGAATAGAAGCGTAATTAATTGTTAGAAAGTATGTTGGAATGTACGCATCTTGTCCAGCTAGTGTGTGGTTGAGCATGAGAAAGGAATATCATAGAGAGGAATCTAAAGACACAGTGGGAACGTTAATGGAAATATGTCCCATATGGTAAGTGCTTATTGATGTAAGGGTTTTTAAAAGTACCTGTGTTGGGGGGGCGGGCGGGCGGGCCTGACCTGCAAACTGAGCGGTCGCATGGCGGAGGAGCTCCCGAAGCCATAGCGGACTAAAAGGGAAAGTGTCATGGATCTGACGCCTAAACTGATGCTGGGATACGTTGCCCGTATCAGGGGCACCTTGGAGAACTGACTACTACCAGACACCGGTGTTTCCCGCAAGCACGAAACAGAGGTGGCCCACGGTGGCCTACATTGGATGGGTTGGGGGAAGGCGGCTGCTCTCCTCGCCTCTACACTGGGGGCACTGAGCCACAGCTTACCCGCTCCCCCACCCCTTAGGACCGGCAATCCCACCAGACACAGAGGCCACAGCTGATACAGACGGCGGAGCCCCACAAGCAACCCTCAGCTATAAAGGCCCACAAAATGGCGGACGCCAAGTGCGGCGACAATGGCACTGACACGCTGAAAAGGCTGAACGCAATCTTCAACGCCTTTTGGAGTGAAAATAGCAGACAGAGAGCGGCAGGCAAAAGTGCAAATGACCCTGCCCAGAGAGGGACCCATGCGTCTCCACCACAACCGACCTGAACCTTGATTAAAAGGTAAAGGGAACAAGAAGGCGCTGAAAACGGAGACATCTCCCGCCTACCTCTAAGTGAACACACTGAGTGGTGACACCACCTCGAAGGTGCCTGCGGGACCTACCTAAATCCCACATGAAACCAAACCCCGATGAGCAACAGCAGAGTGTCAGACCCTCATTGCGGCACCGGAGCCTGATAAAGACTTAGACAAGGAAACCACTCACCTGCGTCATAATTACAAGCACCCACAGAGATGGGCAACCAGGCACAGCACGGGAGACCTTGCAACTGGACTATGTCCTAAACCGGCGAGACCCACAAGCATATTTAACAATTTTTCCCACAAGGGGTATTGGATGAAGGGGAACTCACACCGCAAGACTGCTCAGAGGACACTGTTTAATACAACCGACACAGCGAACTCTGACTAGCCCCCTCTGCACCTTTCCAAGCCGAAACAGTTGACTCACACTGGACTCCCAAGATATTTATCGCTCCAACGCTTTTGCTTAATACTGCTATTTCTAATACCTGCATGATAATAATGTCTTCCATTAGCAGTGTCCCTAGAGAGCCCGCTACTAGCCAATCCCATGCCAACTAGCCTGAGTGTCTGGTAACCTACTAGTACTACCTACCCTCTTATGAGCATAACCTTAAGCATCACACTGTACCGTATGCATACCTAGCCTAGCATGTACATTATTTGCTATAATCCACTGTTGTCTCACAGCTTGTTAATAACATATTAACTGCTACGGCACGATTACTACCTACCATAATCTATCGATGCCTCATGGCTGGTTAACCCCATGTTCTAGCATATTAACCACTTAATACAGATGTCTCATAACATGTTAACCTCAAGTTTTAGTATGTATACTAATTAATACGGAAGTCTCATAGCCTGTCAATCTACCGTCAAAACCAAGGAGTTGGCCTGGGACTCCCAAATATATAAAAGAAACCAAGAGGGCTGCACTCACCTGAACATGCTTACATTATAGGGTGCTGCTGGGACCAAAGAGGGCTGCTCAGGTGAGTGCAGCCCTCTTGGTTTCTTTTATATATTTGGGAGTCCCAGGCCAACTCCTTGGTTTTGCACCCCTCCCTGTTACAGGTGCCTCATTCCAGAACTCTATTTAGCCTTGCCTTGCAGAGAGTCCCAGTGGGGAAGCATTTCCCAAGTAAGTGGATTAATCTCATAAGAGCAAGCATTAGGCTGCTACTAGGATAGGACCTGCCGAATATGGGGCTTATGCAATATATGATCATATAATGTAACTAAACCCCCATCATTTTTTGCCTAGGTGAGATGTTTTTAAATAAAACTATTGCAATATCTAGGATTTGAAATCATTGTTTAGTGAATAAGCGAGTGCGCTGGATTCTGTATTTTATATATATATATATATATATATATACACACACACACATACATACATACATACATACACACACACACTCTATCTAAAAGGAACATACATACACACTTAAATGCACACATATACACATGGCTCTAAATTTCCACTTTCCACTAGTAATTCAGCCAATGGCGACTAGAAATTCAGCCTTGATTAGTGTGCCACAGATCCTCCAGGCTTGTAGGAGCAAGTTACTTTTAGGCCTGACTAATAACGTACAGCTTACAAATTTGAGCACTGGATATACATGCCTATTTGATAGTGGAAAATATGTCATTAGCACAATAGTGATATAAGCAGTACTGGTAAGATTCTTTTGGCCAACCTCTTCTGAGTCATTTACTAACAGCTGATTAAAATGTAATATATTTCTAAAATAATAGATTTATATTAAAATGGGACATATTTTTAAACCATGGGAATGGAATGACATTAACATGGACATAATTAATAAGAAATGTTTTAAGTAATTTTCTCCAGTTTATCTCCAGACAGAGTCTCTTTAAAATACATTTATTATTGTCTGAAGTTAATAAGAAGGTAGTTTTATGTGGATTCCTGAGTTTCTGCAACATCAAACAGTAGGGAAGCAAACAGACCATATCCACACTATTACTGCATTCCTGGTGCTACTTGCTCAGACATGCTAGAGAAGCAACTACTTTTACACAGTCACTAGGACTGGATGACTACAATTTGCAGTATAAGACATATTTTACAGCCAGAGCTGCTCGCATAGGATGGGATATAATACAAGGCTTTAAAAGAAGTAAAACCTACACTTACACAAGCCATATGACCTCTATTCAACTTTAGAAAAGTATGTTGAAAAATAGTTGTAGATTAGAAATGAAAATAAGACAGACAGACAGACAGACATGCTCTTTGAAAAATTTGCTTTACAAAAAAACAACAACTTGTAATGGTTTTCTGGACCCTGTCCATCAGCTTAAAACCTGATGAAGAATGAGATAAGTTTATCAGAATGCTCAGATAAAGCCGATTGCAAAAAGAAAAACGTGGGCTATTTTAATTATTAGTATGTATCTCTATAGGGATTTCTTTTTAAGGAGTGTTTTAAGAGGTTTAGAATTTTATTTGTATCCTAAGTGAGACATGGAAGGGACAGTTCCAGTGAACAATGAGAGTTTAATTATACTTATTATTTTATATTAATATACAAACATTACAAGTTTTCTATTACTCAACTGCTGCAGATTTCAGGGGAAGTTTTTAGTGGGTCCAAACTCTCTTGTTCTGTATGCTGTATATGCCCAGAGCCAGTGGCTCTGGGATCTGTGAGTGTATTTTATTTGCGTTAGGGGTGCAGTACTATACAGATATTCTGCAATAAATATATATATATATATTTATATATATATATCTACATACACACATACATACATACATACATACACACACACATACATATATACATTTATTTATTTTTACTGATGTGTGCTATCTTTTAAGCTGACATCATCAGAAGTGATCATGTGAGCCAATCACAATGCTTCCCCATAGGATTAGCTGAGACTGTCAAGGAGGCAGATCGGGGCAGAGCCAGCACAAGTCAAACACAGCCCTGGCCAATAAGCATCTCCTCATAGAGATGAATTTAATCAATGAATCTCTATGAGGAAAGTTCAGTGTCTGCATGCAGAGGGTGGAGACACCAAATGGCAGTACTATACAGTGTGCAGCACTGCCCCAGGAAGCACCTCTAGTAACCATCTGAGAAGTGGCCAGTGGCGTTATCCATAGGCTGTAATGTAATCACTGCATTTTCTCTGAAAACACAGTGTTTACTGCAAAAAGCCTGAAGGCTGCTTTCTCTCTCAGGTAGCCAATCAGCCGGCCGGCTGCATTCTCCCTCAGGTAGCCGATCAGCCGGCCGGCTGCATTCTCCCTCAGGTAGCCGATCAGCCGGCCGGCTGCATTCTCCCTCAGGTAGCCAATCAGCCGGCCGGCTGCATTCTCCCTCAGGTAACCAATCAGCCGGCCGGCTGCATTCTCCCTCAGGTAGCCAATCAGCCGGCCGGCTGCATTCTCCCTCAGGTAGCCAATCAGCCGGCCGGCTGCATTCTCCCTCAGGTAGCCAATCAGCCGCCTTAATGCTACTTCAGCCAGCCAGCTTCTTTGCTGAACATGGTGACCTGGCGCAGCAGATTTGCCGAGCCCTGGTGTATGAGCTATGTACACTGTACATTTGGTATAAATGGGTACTTCCCAGGCTTTCCCAAACCTTAAAGTTAAAGGTTGGTACACCCGGTATAGAGAGTATAAGGGAGTGGCTAGGGATAATGGAGGTCCGCACAACATTTGTTTTACTGAATCCCACATATGTGGGAGCTTAGTTGATGGTAGCATTCTATCCATTTTTGGTTTTCGCTCTTTTCTGGTTCTCCTCCTATCTCTCCCAGTGCTGTTTCAGTGTCTCCTTTTCTGGTTCTTGCTCTCCTCTACAGCCCCTCTATTGGTGCTTCCCAAAGTTCTATCCTCAGTCTTCTACTGTTCAAAATCTATACTGCCTTCCTCGGTAACATAATCAGATCCTTACGCTTCCAATATCACTTCTATGCCGTTGACATGCAAATCTACCTGTCTGTTCCTGATCTCTCTCCATTCCTCTCTGCTAACTGAATGGCACCTTTAACTCAATTTCTATCCAACAGATCTTCTCGTCTTTCCTCCTTCAAACACTACTCCTCATGTGTCTATCTAACTCCATGACAACTTCACTACCTTCCAATCTACCTCACAGGCATACTGCCTTAGCATTCTCTTCTTTCCAACCTCTCCTTCACCGCTCACATCCAGTCCATCACCAGATCCTGTCGTTTCCATCTCAAAAACATTGCTCACATCCACCCTTACCCAACACCAGACGTATCTAAAGTGCTAATCCATGTTGCGATCATCTTGTGCCTTGACTACTGCAATCCAATTATCACTGGTTTTACACGCTCCCAGCTTGCCCCTCTACAGTCGGTTATGACAAAGCTCATCTTCCTCTCTTTCTGATGCTTTCATGTCCTCCCCCTCTGTGAGTCCTTACATTTGCTTCAGATAAGATTTAGGGCTCAATTTAAAGTTCTGCTTACAAGTTTCTTCATAACACTGCTCCGATCTACTTTTCCTCACTAATATGCAAGTATGTGCCATCCAGGCCCTTATGCTCTGCTGAAGATGTGTCTATTGTCTGTTCGTACTTGCACCGCTGAATCTCATCTACAAGACTTCTCTAGGGCTGCATGATATCTATGAAACTTGCTGCCCAGCTCCATTAAAGTCCCACCCAGTCTCAGTTTCTTAAAAAAAAAAAAATCACTGAAAATTTGAAGAAGGCGTTTCAATTAAACAATTTTTCACCCTGCACCTCACTAACTCACCTTGCTTCTCCTCCTGCTAATGCATCTAAAAAACTAAGCCCGCTTATTGTAAACTTTGCAATCTTAAGTTCTAAAAAAGTATTACCAGAATTAGTAATGCTGTACTTAATCACACAATACATATCCTTAAAGGGGCACTATATTCACCAAAACAACTTTAGCGTACTGAAGTAGTTTTTGTGTAAAGATCTTGTCAAATCACTGCCATTTAGGAGTTAAATCACATTTGTTTCTGTTTATGCAGCCCTAGCCACACCTCTTCTGGCTGTGACTGACAGCCTGCATGAAAGCAAAATGGTTTCATTATCAATCAAATCTAACTTACTTTGAAAGTTTTTATCTCCTGCTGTGTAAATTAAACTTTACATACAGGGACTCCTGCAGGCCTAGAAATCTATTAACAGAGCAGGAGATAAGACATTATACATTAAACAGAATTTGTAAAAAAAGAAGTGTAAACATTAGCTGACTTTTTACAGGAAGTGTTTAGGAAGTCACATGCAGGGGTATGTGACCAGGGCTGCATAAACAGAGTGATTTAATTAACCCCTTTGGGACACAACTTCTGGAATAAAAGGGAATCATGACGGAAAATTTCCGTCATGTGTCCTTAAGGGGTTAAGCTAAAGCTGTTTCGGTACCCATAGTGTCCCTTTAAATTATGAATGCATGTTTAGAACTGGGTGCAAGACCACTAGCAAAGCCTTAGCAGGAAAAAATAATTCAAGGCTAGGGTAAGAAAGGAAGAAGTTTGTTAATGATGCTATTAGTTGAATAAAGTCGGGCAATTAATGCAGAGAGTTACAGTTTTCTGATAAAGGCAGGCGAGCGTATTGGGCAGGGAGCATAAATGTGAAATAAATCAAATCCATTCATGGTTTGGATTTCCTTAAATAGATGTCCACAAAAGTAAACGCAGTGAAGTCTGGAGGCAGAAGCTTGTAAGAAGGAATGTTGGCTAGAATAAAGCAAGCCATTACAGATGAAAGAAGCATTATTGGAAATAAAAGGTTAAAAGAAAAAAGTGTCATAGGGACAGAATATTCTCATATTGATGTCACCAGTCACTTCATGAAACTATATCCAGAAATATAGCAGGCTGCTGCTGTACAAATAAATATTAACAACATATGACAAGCAACAGAAAATAAATTCTTCAACTAAAGGAGCAATAAGCAACACAGTAAATATTTGCTAACAAATTAACTGGAACACTCTATGTTCTGATAATGGTAATTTTCTCATGTAGTTCTATTATTCTAAAAAACAATGTCTCAAAGCTTTAACACTTAGGCTTGCTGAAGTGGTTATTGTGCAAGTACTTAGTCGGTACAGCTCTTCATCTTGAAATTCCAGTTCCAGAATTTTTTTTCAAATGACTTAAATGCCAACATACAGAATGTGTCAATCCACACGTGAGAAATTCACAGAAAAGAAAGTACAGTGATAAGTATTAGCACATATAACATGTCCTCAAAAGCTTAATAATTCTAAACATGAAGTTATTTGCAAATTTAAGTCAAACAGGTGTGTCCACCCAGATATCAGAGTTTTAAAAAAAGTTATCCTTAAAAAAAAAAAAGGAAAATTTTCTCAAATGTGTGTGCGCGCATGTGTGTGTGTGTGTGTGTGTGTGTGTCTGGGGGTGGTGGGGGTGAGGGGGGGGAATGGGGAGGGGAGGGTTTTTCTCCATCTGTATGGAAAGAGATTAAGATAGGGGATTTTGTGGGAGGAAAAGTAGAGGGGATGTAGTTGTGATAAAGGAGATCCCGTTCCAAAATAGTTTGCCTTTTTTGCTGGAATGTAACGAACTTGGACTACTGTTTTCACCATGGCTATGTCAGCTTTGTTATGTGTAAACTGATAGCAGCCATAGTATGGCAGTTCCACTCACTCTAAATGTAATTACAAAACAATTATCCCACGTGTAGGGTTTCTATATTTTTTTGTACTATTTAAATTTACCACATAGTTTGTCTTTAAGTCATACAAGTTCAGGATTTGTAAGAATAACGATGGATTGCTTAAACTGTCACTTGATGGAGTTCAATTAAAAGAACAGTCTGGTACTATAACAATGTCATCGGAATGAATTTGTTCACAAGCAAGGAGATCATTCAGCCAACAGTCTTCTGTTTCTCCGCCTATCAGCGTGCCAAATCTGAGGCTTCCGGCTTCAAGCCTAGGACTCAAGAGTATATGGAAGGGGCCAAGATGAACAATGCTAGACAGAAGACTTCAGGTTTTTTTTTCTACATCTCTCTCTCTTCATACATCCCAACTATCCCAAGTTTTGCACTGCATCCCAGTTTTAGGTACTTGGCCCTATATGTTGGTTTTGTCCCCTATTATTAAACGTGATTTGCTAAGTGTGAGGTCAGCCTCGTGTTCATTCATGCTAGGTTGACACATTGTTTTTTAGTGACCTGTCCCCTTTAGACGTTGCCATGTCACTGACATACCCCGTGTAGGTTCATCCAACTGTGTCTCAGTTCCATAAATTTGTTACCTCTCTTTCTCTGTCTTTCTCTACTTGATATATACTGTAAGCAAGATCAAGGGACACTTTAGGACAACTGTCTAATTCAAAATCTTTAGCTTTGAATGAGACATTTGCCTCATTCTACAGGTTGAAAGCTATGATAATTTTTCATATTTACCTGCCTTTTCTTTCTTTTGCTTTCCACCCCCACTCCAGATGGGACACTGATCTAACCGAAAAGTGTGCTATCCCTAGGAATGCTGGAAAATTGTATTGGGCATGCCTGACAGATTTACATATGTGCAGTGGGAAGATTTCTTCACTTGGAACAACCTGACAAGGGGGAGGGAAGAGAGTTAGACTGATCAGTGTGATCATGCAGAAAAGCTACGGTTTCTGGTTTCTGCTAGGTGAGAGTCGTGCCCAATCATGTAATTGGACCAAGTTTATAGTACATTTACAAACGTTTATTACATGCTTTTAAAAAAGTATATTTGTAGATTAGTTAAAAAGTGTTTGCTTGCTGGTTTTAACAATATTTGTAAAGTTATGTGTGTCCCTTTAAAGAGCATTATTTCTATAGATTGTGCTAGCAGCAATGCTAGCGAGTGAATAGAGTCGGAGAAAACCTATTTAAAAAAGGACTTTCCCTCACCTTTCAAATCAGTTCTCTGGCATAGACCTCACCCAAAAAACAACTTTTAGCGAAAGCATAAGAGACCTCCTACAGGTGCATCCTATTGATCTCCAGTGCATGCTATGGTCACCAGAATGCAGGCAATAAAGCCAGTAAAATCCACTTAGAGCATGGACAGATGTTACATAATTCTCTGATTTGTCTTAAAAAAAAAAAAGGTTTTAAGACATAAATTTATATAGAGAGGGGAACTTCTTTAGGGCAACAGGTTAATTTCAGCAGCCAAGAAAACTGTACGCGTTCTATTGCTAGGTTTACCATGTAAGCTAAGTTGGAAGACTTTACTGTAAGTGTAAACACTGCCACGCTGGTCATCTCACTTACAACTTTCGCCACGACTCCGACTTTAAGGAATTAATGGCAAAAAGGCAAACTGGGAGCTTGTTTAATATTTAACTTTTATTACAGCTGTACTGCAGCTATACCTAGACTACTTTACTAAAGTATGCATACTGTTATAAAAATTAAGCCTCTAGTGGCTGTCTATCTGCTACAGTCAGTCTGACATTCACTAGAGGTGGGCTCTAGGAAAAAGGTTAACTTTTTTCCCAAACATTTTTCACAAACTTTTCACAAATGGCAAAGTTTTATGTTGAGTAAAGAACAACATCCATGGACCAATATCATTACATTAGGATGTGGTAGGTTTGGTGCTTAGAAAAATACAGATGTCCAAATTGAAATAACATTAAAGTTATTTCAGGTATCAAACACTTTACATTGGCTTTCCCAGAAAGAGAAAGAATGCCAGGTATATGTCATGAAAGGTATGTGTTGTGGCTTGAGGATATGTAAATCATTTACATGATTCATAATATAAAATGCTTCTAAGTTTGGTAAAGCACAGCTGGCATTTCTTAACCTTATGTGAACTACAGGAGGTGAAAAGATTAGAATTCGGTCGGCCAAAATATGTAATTATGTTGAATTATAACAAAGGAAGAGTGAAGAGCAAATATTTATGTCTGCCACCCTTTCCATTTAAAATGTATAAGTTCTCATCCACCCCCATGCATGCTCACTTTCCTTTTTTTGGTGGAGGGGGAAGAGGGGGGAGAGAGGGAGCAGGGGGACATACATTACTTTAAAGGGACACACATTACTTTGAGACAACTGTCTCATTTCAAAAGCAGGTAAATCTGATTAAAAAAAAAAAATTCCTGCTTCTTTTTTTATGCTTGCCACTCCGACTCCAGGGGGACACTGATCTAACCAATAAGTGTTCTATCCCTAGGAAGGTTGGAAAAGTGCATTAGGCATGCCTGACAGATTTACACATGTGCAGTTGGAAGATCTCTTCACTTTGCAACATCCTAACAAGGTGAAGTGAGGAACTCTGGTCAGTGTGATCATGTTTAACAGATTCCTGTTTCAGGATTCTTTCTACTGAACTGGTCTAAAACAGAGAAGGGTGGATAAGAGGGAGTGAGAGAGGCTGAACATACTCCTCTAGCCGAGAGGTGAGTCCAATCATGTCATTTGACCAAGTTTTTATTAAGTTTATTGCAGACTTTTTTTTAAAGTTTTTCTTGATTTTGGTTTGTATATTTGTTTTAAACTGCTAGTTCAAAAATATAATCGCCAAGTGATGCAATTCCCTTTAATAAAATTCAAAATAACTACATGGATTTAATAATGAAATTTAGTTTGTTCAGATTCATTTTTAATTTCAGATGGACCAAGCTGTTCCCTCATACCTGTGTTTTACTTAAATCTAGTATTTGAAATCATTTTTCTCACTACATATGACATACTTTAAAAGGTCACCATCAATAAACATTTATAGTGGTGGTGTCAACTTTGAAAAAATAAACCATTTTCAATCATTTAAAAGAAGTTTAAATCTAATAAAAGTACACATCTCATTCTTTATGATGCTTTTGCTTCGTAGTTTGAAAAATAGGTACCCCCAGTTATAGACTACCACTATATTTTGCTACAAATAATATCAATTTGTTCTTCTAAAAAACACTCCAAATGTCATAACCCTTACAGCCTGCGGTAGGGATTATGGTGCCAAGAAGTCTTTGGCGCCTTCCCGTTACAACTAGTCAAATCGTTTAAGAATGGTTGTACCATCTGGCGCCCATCGTTTTCTTCCTTACTGCAGGAAACTCCTGCAAGGAACTTCCATTAGCTCCACTGAGCTAAGTCCTGCAGCGCAGGGCAGGCTTCTTGGCTGAGAGCATCAGCTGAGCAGCCCTGCATAGGATGGCTTACATCAGTGGCAGGAGATTCTGGCACTGATGTAAGCCATCCCAGCTGGGCCCAGATATATTATCAAAAACAATTAGAGTACTTATTCTGGTATGGTGTATCCTTGGCTCCATAACCACTATAGTGCTTGGAATGTTCCTTTAAACTAACACATTATATTGGGATTGTTACAATACCAGCTGTGTTATTGCAATCTTATGTAACATTGAACAAGGTTTTAAAAAGGAGAATACCAAGCCCTATCACTAACTATTCTATTTTGTTTTGCTTCAGAAGGCAACTTGTGGTTCAGTAAGAGTTTAAAGAAAATGCAGCGTACTCTCACTTAAATTACGGGAGAGAAAGGACTGGCTAAAAAATCTTGGCCACTTCCTGGGCCTTGCAGTAGCTACATATTTGTGATAGATTATGTTAATTCATACAGTAGTAGTATTATTTTCTCCAGTTACTTTTCATTTTTCATCATTTCTTTGTCATGCAATATCTCCAAATGAATTAAACAGGAGAGAGGCAACTTCTAATGCTCATTTATGATGGACTTCTACATGTGGGAGAAGAAACCCACAAATTTCAATTTCTGTATATTTTTGGCCAGTGAAGAGATCTCAGCTGTTCATTTTCAAAGTATGAAATGACATCTGCTTTCCAAAATGCTCTGCCGCCTTCTCTACACATAACAGTTGTTTTCTAGTTGATTGCAAGAGGACACAGAAAATGACTGGAGGGTAGATACGTTAATAGTAGAAACATATATAAATGAAATAAACACTCAGATTAAAGATTGAGATTTTCAACTCAAAGAAGTCGAGGTTGGATGACAGGGAGATGGGTCAAAGCATTTTGATTCTTGTATTTCCTACAAATTAAAATTCAGGCTGTCTACACTTACAGTTGGTGCACTTACTAATAGATACAGCAAAACACATTCACAAAATGCAATACTGTATATATTAATGTTATATCTCTATTGTATTGGTAGTTTATAGGGCTTTACTCATTGTACCTAATTATAATTATTAAATATAAAAACATGAACATTTACCAGAGTGCTGTACAAAGACATCAGACAAATAGTTGGTGGCATAAAGGCTTAGAAAGACAGGAATCAAAGGTGAGAAACGTCCTGCTACAACAATTTTACAATCCCTTTGTGGATGACTCAACATTCATCTGTGGGTAAGATCAGGCTGGCAAAATGTATTTTAAAACTGCAAAACTGTGTACAATCATCAGTCCAGTCAACTATGAAAGTATTCTCAAAATCACAACAGTGCACAACATAATGAACAGACCCCGGTTTGTAGCTAGACAAATCCATCAAGAAACAAATCTCAAGTAATTTTTTAAAATAATTTGCAATACTTTTAAAACACCTAAAAATGATTAAACCTTTACATTTCACTTTTAAATTAATTTGCTTCGAATTAAAAAAATAATAATAGAAAATAATATATTATGATTTCCTACTGTTAACTCCTAGATGAATCGATAAACAATAAAGAAGAAAAAACAGAAGAAAGCAGGAAAAGCAATATAACAAAAGAAAACTGAGTCAGCAAATTAATTTCTATGCAAACACTGACATCCATAATCGCACAAATAAAATATTATCCAGCACAGATGCCCACTTTTGGATTGTAAAAGGTGGGATTTGGCATTATGTATCTAAAATGCAAAGCAACTGTAATGGAAGCACACACTCATTTCAAACATTTAACCAAGAACAATTCTGCACACATTAGTCTCAAGTGGAGTAATGCAAAAAGAGTGACTCTGGGGCAAAGTTCTGGAAGTGGAGCAGTCACCATGGAAACCAGTGGCATGTTCCTGCTGAGTGATCCACTCTTAGAACGTTGCCGCAGAATCTCTATAGTTAGGCAGGTGGTAAATATCCACTGAGTGCCCTGTGTAGTAAGAAATGGTGCCTTTATTATAATACAGAGGATATAGGTCAGATGGAGCTGCCGGTATTACACAGGGGAACCAGTCCCCCCTTCTCCATAAACAGAGTGGAGACACAGAACTTCATACCTGCTCGCACTTGCAGGCTGCTGCTAGATAAGAGAGCTCCTAATACACAGATTCCGGCGGCCAGGTTGACATGGCCGCCCATGCTGTGTGTGTAGCCGGGTCCTGGGGGTGCCTCACGGAATCTTTCCCCGGAAAGTTCCAAACTCCATGCCCTGTGCTGCTCTGCCTGCCCCCGGCCGGGGCTCTAATGCCAGCTCTGTGAGCAAGCGCGGCCCGTGACGTCACCCGTGCCTGAGGGGGGCTGAGGAGATTTCCAAACTCTGGGACTGTCTCCTGCAGGCAGCAAAGTGCACTCCTGGCCTGCTGTACTATTGGTAACCAGGCTGTGTGTGGAGGAGGGGGCAGCTCGTGTGAACTGTGCTGGGCTCTCTAACTCCTGTTATTTCTCTGCTCCTATTGTTATTATTATTATTTTACTTTGGAGAAAGGGTAGATTAATTCTTAATTATTTGCTGGAGCGTGCAGATTTCTTCAGCGTGAGAATCAGAAGGAACTTTGATTTGGAGTTTATTCACTGAACTCTGCATTGTGATGACTGAGGAGATGTAGATGCTGTGGTTTAACCCGTTAAGGACATATGACACGTGTGACATGTCATGATTCCCTTTTATTCCAGAAGTTTGGTCCTTAAAGGACCACTATAGTGCCAGGAAAACATACTTGTTTTCCTGGCACTATAGTGCCCTGTGGGTGCCCCCACCCTCAGGGACCCCCTCCCGCAGGGCTGGATGGCGATAACTTACCTTTATTCCAGCGCCGGGCGGGGAGCTCTCCTCCTCTCTGCCTCCGATCCTCCTCTTCGGCTGAATGCGCATGCGCGGCAGGAGCTGTGCACACATTCAGCTGGTCTCATAGGAAAGCATTTACAATGAGACAGCCACTAGAGGATTTGGAGGCTGGATTAACCCATTTATAAACATAGCAGTTTCTCTGAAACTGCTATGTTTATAAAAAAGGGGTTAATCCTAGACCTAGAGGGACCTGGCACCCAGACCACTTCATTAAGCTGAAGTGGTCTGGGTGCCTAGAGTGGTCCTTTAAGGGGTTAAAGGCTCAGCACGCAAAGGCTTTGTTACAATGTCAATGCTCACTTCCAAATCTTTGTTACACAATGTCACAATTTCTATAACAAGGCAACATTTATATTCATAAACTGAACTGGCATATGTAGACAGTGGCTGCTACAAAGGTTATTTTGTAAACTTTAAATTTTTAGTTAATTAAATTCAAATTTGAAGAAACTAAAGCTAAAATAACCAAGCTGTGACCAGAGCTAAATTAAAGCATTTTACTAAGTCAGCTATTTCAAATTCAGTTTTCAATGAGTATATAAAGGGACACTCTGGGCACTTTAAAGGGAAACTATAGTGCCAGAAAAACAAACTGACACTATAGCTTCCCCCTCTGTTAATAACCCCTTCTGTCACATACCTGGGCCCGATGTCCCTTGGCGCTGGCTTGGCTCCGCCCACATTTACTTTAGGATTTCCCCATAGGAAAGCATTATTTCCTATGGGGATACTGATGATGTTGGAATACCTCATGCGTTGTCATTTAGGCAACCAAAAGGTAGACAGCCACTAGAGGAGGAGTTAACCCTAGCAGGTAATTACTGTATTGCAGTTCATTAAAACTGCAATAATTACATGCTCAGGATTAAGGCTGATGGAACAGTGCACCCAGACCACTTCATTGAGCTGAAGTGGTCTGGGTGCCTACAGTGTCTCCTTAACAATTTTCATTGTTAACAAAATTTCATTTTATTGAAATTCTTGTAGTGCCTGCAGTCTTGCCCCTCTCCTATAACCTAAACCATTTAGTTCACCAATTAGAGGGCATGAAAGTGTGGCTACACAGACATGCAGAGTGGCACAGGGATCAACTAATCTCATCTCTGGCTGGGGGCCAAATGTTGCCAGGGGTCATCTGAAGCAATGCGCTACCAGCCAGAGAGTGCATCCAGCTGGCTGGATCACCAGGATGTCCTTCTTCCCTTCACCAAAAGTGACAAAAATGAATAATGATTTGATTTTTTTATTTTAATTAATATATTTTTTCCTCTGCATCCTGAATCTCTATGTCTTCCCACACTACACACTGCAGTCTGATATTACACACACACACACACACATTACAGCCCATATACATGCACATTAGATACATACATACATACATACATACGTGCACTACAGCCCCTAGATTAACAGTCACTCTAAACACACTACACCCCATAGGCAAGAACATACACTACACAACACAAACTACACTGTACATACAACTTCAGTAGCTAAACATAAACAAACACTCACATTATAGTCCCTTCACACACACGCTATATCCCCTAGCTACACCCATACACACACACACACACACACACACACACACACACACAATAGCCCTTATATACATACATACACACTACACCCTCTAGAAACACTAAACACCATAAACATATATATATATAGTGGTGTATTTTGGATTTCTGCTGCCTTTGGCATGACAGAACTCGAGCACTCCCTAATTTAAATTTGCCCCACTCTTTCCTGCCAAGGTCACACCTCTTCCTGTTAAAGACTAACACCTTTTAACTGGCAGACACACACTACAACACACACTCACAGACAAGCACACACTCTCTGATACATTGATATTCACACACCGATTTAACATAATCTGAAAGACACACACAGTCATTCAGACACACACTGACACATGCACACTCACTGACAGACACACACAGTCACGCACACACACACACGGGCATACACACATTCACTGACAGACACACACTGACAGACACACACACACTCAGACACACTGATAGATATACACACACACATTCACTGACAGACACAAACTCACCGACAGACACACACACACACTGACAGACACTCACTGACAGACAGACACATACATTCACTGACAGACACACATAATCACTCACAGACACACTGACAGATATATACACATACATATTTCCCCCCAGCACTCACACATTATTTTTTTTATTATTTAAGTCCAGTATCCATACTTTTGGGAGAGCTGGGTGGATTATTTACCTGGGGTCCAGTGGGGCTGCTGGGTGGAATGGCAGGCTCGCAGGCAGGTAGGAAGGCTGGTGGGTGTGCAAAGTAAGCAGTGAGGGAGCAGTGATCTTCTTGTTCATCTCCCTCGCCGCTGATCTGTGAGCTCTTCTTGCTCAGCTCCTTCAACGCCCGCCTGGAATACAACAAGGCTAACAATGCATTTGCCTTTGCATTTGGGGGCAGCATTTTTTGCTGCCCACTGGAAATTGTCGCCCACGGCAAGTGCCTTGTTAAACTCATGGTAAATACATCAGTGCATATATACACACATGCTTTCTTGCTCTCTTTCTACAACCAATAGACAAATAGACAAATCACCCCATGAGCTCCTGGAGGAGCCTGCTAGCTAGCCTCCTGCCCCAGGACGATAGACCAAATACAAAGACCCTGTTCGAGAGTTAAATCTCCCCAACCGCCATTAGTAGTTTGCCCTGGGTGCTCCTGATTCTGCACTTTCCCTTCCTGCAAATGGAAACAAAAGCTGGCTCTCTGGTGGCCATTTGCATGAACCAAACCAACGAATTGTCCTCAGTGACACTTAACTTCCGAAAGTTGACCGGCAAAAGAATCAAATGCCCTGGAACTGTTTTGGGCATAGGACCACGTGTGCGAATGGTCAGAACTTTAACATGGTGGCGTTTCCCCTACACTGCATGGATCTGAACGCTATTTGGAGAACCTGGGCGCTCAAATCCGGGGTTATGTTATTATGATGTTTTGGGGTATTTTTATGTTTGTTTGACTCTCTGTTCCTGGAAGATAATTACCTTACCGGCCGCGGCAACGCTCCAACCTTGCGAGAGGAACCCGGCAGAGCTGCTGGCTAGAGCTCCCCGGGTCCTCTCCTGCCTCCCTCCCTGTCTGTGGGTCTATGAGAGAGATCTTTGATCTCCCTCACAGGCCCACGTAGGGAGGCACATAGGGCGGACTGCGGGGATTAGGGTGTGCCCAGGCACACCCGGCACACCCCGTGCGCATGTAAGCGACACACATGGAGCTGGGGAGTGGGGTTTAGGAGAGACTCAAAAGTCAAGAGCTTCACACAAGGGGTTTGGGGGTGAGAATAGATGCAATGGGAGTGGAGCATTACAGAGCCTGCAATTCCAGTGAGCTGCTTACACCTTTCTAGTTGAATGCCAAATAATTTAGGTACATATAAACACAGAAACACAGAGAAGAAAAATGATGCCAGGATCCGTTTATAGCTGTATAACATACAATGATAACAGTCGGAATCACAGATAACGCTTTTAGGTATTTTGGCCTGTTAATATAAATAAGAAAAAATCTGGTTAGTGTCTAGCATACTGTACTGTCACAGTTATAAACTGCATCAATGGTCTTGGAATGTGAAGAAATATTAATTATATTGCTTTCTGTATCAGCTCCTATTCATCTCAGGCATATCTTGCCATTATTTGAAAAAAAAAGTGAAGTGAACAAATAACTTTCATGTATGTACTATTGGAGAATACCTTTTTAACCAGGCAAATTCCATAAATTGTACCCTATAAGCAAAATATTTTTTATTAATAAAGTTGCTGTTATTTCAAATGTATTTCTCTTTCCATGCCCCAGGCTCCCACTGCTCTTCCCCTGCCCATCCTCTGCTCCATGCTCTTCCCCTGCCCCTTCTCTACCCCAGGCTCTTCCTGCCCCTTCCCTGCCCCAGGCTCTCACTGCTCTTCCCCTGCCCCTTCTCTGCCCCAGGCTCCCCCCTCCTCTTACCCCAATCTCTCCCTGCCCCTTCTCTGCCCCATGCTCTCCCTGCTCTTCAACCTGCCCCATGCTCTCCCTGCTCTTACCCTGCCCCATGCTCTTCCCCTCCTCTTACCCCAGGCTCTCCCTGCCCCTTCTCTGCCCCATGCTCTTCCACTGCCCCATGCTCCCATTGCTCCTTCCTTTCCCTTCCACTGCCCCAAGCTCTCCCTAATCTTCCTCTGCCCCAGCCTCCCCCTGCCCCTTCTCTGCCCCAGACTTTCCCTCCACTGCCCTAAACTTCCCATGCTCTTCCTACACCTTCCCATGCTCTGTCCCATGCTCTTCCACTGCCCCATGCTCCCCATGCTCTTCCTGCTCCTTCACTGTCCCATGC